TCCTCCCTTCCAGCCCCGAGGCGGTGAGTCAGCTGGTGGGGCGGCTGAGGGCGCTGCGGGTGCGACTGGGGGAGGTGGTAACGCGGGCGAACACGACGATGCAGCTGCTGCCGGGGATGGAGGAGGAGAACGGCGCGGAGGGCAGCGGGGAGGGGCTGGAGAGCGTGCAGGTGGTTGATGTGGTGGATGATGATCAGACGCCTCTTAAGCTGGATTGGTGAGTGAAACGAGGCAGACTGTAACGCGGACAGACAGGCAGGGCTGTGAGGAGGGCAGCGGGGAGAGGCTGGAGAGCGTGAAGGTGGTTGACGTCATGGATGACGATCAGACACCGCTGAAGCTCGACTGGTGAGTGAATGTGGAGCGAGAAGTCATGCATTATATATAGCTTGAAACGAATCAGCCCTGCCTCTGCTCCCACTCATTCGTCCTTCCTCCACACTTCCCCTTCCCCTCGCTCCCTCCCCCAGGGGTCGGGCTGTGAGAAAGGAGCAGAGGGAGAAGGAAGAGAAGGACAAGCAAGCGCAGGGGCGATGTCCCTCAGAAACACAGGCGGGAGGGGGAGAGGGGTGATGCCCTTCAGAGTCTAATGTACTAACATTTCATTTCTGCTTCAAGCCTCTCCCCTCTTCATCTTCCCCTCTCTCACCCAGGGGCCGCGCTGTGAGCAAGGAGCAGCGGGAGAAGGAGGAGAAGGACAAGCAGGCGCAGGGGCGATGCCCCTCAGACCCTCAGGCAGGAGGGGGTGCGGGCGGTGCTGCTGACGTGGCAGCGGCTCATAGACTGGCGGCACATGCGGACTGGAGGGGCGGGTTTGCGAATGGGAGTTTGATGTGGGCGCCGGAGAAGGATAGATACATCCTCATGGACTGCCACAGGGGGAAGGTGCGTGCGGGTGTGGGGGGATGGGCGGGATTGGGGGAGATGGGGGGGAATGGGGGGGATGGGGGGGGTTTGGGGGCAGGAACGAATTGCAGGCTGATGCGCGAACGGGAGTTTGATGTGGGCGCCGGAGAAGGATAGATACATTCTCATGGACTGCCATAGGGGCAAGGTGCGTGTGGGTGTGGGGGGATGTGGGAGGGTTGGAAGGTGGGTGGGGAGGGAGAGAGAGGTCATGCAGGGGGCGCCGGAGAAGGATAGATACATTCTCATGGACTGCCATAGGGGCAAGGTGCGTGTGGGTGTGTGCGAGTGGTGGTGATTGGGGGGGAAGGGAGGGGTGAGTGTGGGAAGGAATTGCAGGTTGATGCGTGAACGGAGCATGGAATGGGCACCAGAGAAAGATAGACACTTGCTGCTGGCAGGGCTGTCAAACTGTACGCTGCTGGTATTCCCACGTACCTATAAAGGCCTCATGGCATTCCCACGTCCCTCTCTCTCCCCCCCTCCTCCTCTGCCCCCATTGCCAATGCCAGTCCAGCACGCGCATCCGCTGCTTCCGCAACTACATGCTGCTGGCACCAATGAAAGCAGTCTCTCATCCTCCCCTCCCCTCTCCCTCCCACTCCCCCTTCACTCCATACCACCACCAGTCCAGCACGCGCATCCGCTGCTTCCGCAATTACATGCTGCTGGCGGGGCTGTCAAACCGCACGCTGCTGGTGCCGATGAACACCACGGAGGTGGCGTCTGGGTACGACCGCCGCATCGTGTTTGACTTTGACCACGCGTGGCGGTGAGTGAGTGGTTGATGGGTGAGTGGTTGAGTGGGTGAGTGGTTGGTGGGTGCCTGGGTGGAATGGCATGGCATTGTGTCCCTAGGGGCGGGGCTGTCAAACCGCACGCTGCTGGTGCCGATGAACACCACGGAGGTGGCATCTGGGTACGACCGCCGCATCGTGTTTGACTTTGACCACACGTGGAGGTGCGTGGTATGGTTGGTTGGGTGTCTGCGTGTAATGGCACATCAGTTTGTTCTCCAAGGAGACCTTGTCTCTGATGAACACAACACAGGTGGCGTCTGGCCGCATTGTATTTGACTTTGACCACGCCTGGCGGTGCGTGGGACATGGGGTCATGGGATCATGGGGCATGGGGTCATGGGGCATGGGGTCATGGCGCATGGGGTCATGGGGTCATGGGGCATGGGGCATGGGGTCATGGGGCATGGGGTCATGGGGCATGGGGTCATGGGGCATGGGGCATGGGGTCATGGGGTCATGGGGCATGGGGCATGGGGGCATGGGGCATGGGGTCATGGGGCATGGGGTCATGGCGCATGGGGTCATGGGGCATGGGCATGGGGCATGGGGTCATGGGGCATGGGGCATGGGGTCATGGGGTCATGGGGTGGGGCATGGGGCATGGGGTCATGGGGCATGGGGCATGGGGTCATGGGGCATGGGTCATGGTTCATGGGCCGGGGGTCATGGATTATTGGTCATGAGTCATGGGGTGATTGGTTTAGGTCTGCGTAAGTAAGCACACAGAGACACGCAGACTTACTGCATCCCAAAATCCTCCTTTTCAAGCAGAAAAAGCTCCTACCTCTCCCCTGAACCCTGTCCCTCCTATTCGCCCCACCCAGGTGCTACGGCCCTCTCTCTGTGCTCTCTACACAAGACTTTCTTGACTTAAACAAGGGGGGAGCGGAGGAGGGGGGAGGAGGGGTGAAGGACGGGAAAGTAGTGATTGATCAAGTGCTGTGCCTACGAGCTACCTGTTACAACCAGAAAGGCCATGGGGACCCGGGCACTTTAGTTAATCTGCCCGAGGCTGCCCTAGCTGAAAATATTACCTGGAGCACTGTGCCTTCCACGGCGATCAAGGAGCAGAAGTTTCGCCTGCCCGAAGCCGCCGAGGTCGCGCGGGAAATCCTTCCGTCTGCCCGGGTTGTGGTTCTCGGGGAGCTCGAACTTTTCTCGTTTGACCGGTCGCTGGAGGCCGAGGGCGACGTTCCTTTTATTCGCCGCCCAGGCTGCCCGAACTCCCTCGCCATCCAACCGCATCCGGCCGTCCTACTCTCCGCCGAGCGGCTTATCCAAGCCAAAATGTGGACTCTTATTGCACTAAACGCCACTTTTAGCCACACGCCAGCTAACTTCACAATCAATAACACGGGAGCGGACGGGGGGAGTCGGGGAATGGGGTGGCAGAAGGACAGCGAAGTGACTGAGATTCAGGATAAGAGATTTGTGGCTGTGCATTGGAGGAGGGGCGAGATGGGGATGGGGTGTAAGGAACCGGGGGCGGTGTGTCACGTGCGGGCGGCGCAGGCAGCTGGGTGTATTGCGAGGGCGATGGAGAAAGCGGGGGGGATCAAGACGGTGTTTCTCGTGTCTGATGCCAGTCCCAAAGAGGTAGGTGTGTGACAAGGAAGCATGGGTGGTTTTGGCTTGCCCCAACGCTTTGTGGTTTTCCCAGGGTTGCCCTGGAAGCTGGGTGTATTGCGAGGGCGATGGAGAAAGCGGGGGGGGTCAAGACGGTGTTTCTCGTGTCTGATGCCAGTCCCAAGGAGGACGTGGTTCCCTGTTGGCTTGTCCTGATGCTCGGTTTCCCAGGGTTGCCCTCGATGGTGGGTGTAGCTGCTCTGAGGCTAAGGCAGGCTGCTGGGTGTGTTGCGAGGGCGATGGAGAAAGCGGGGGGGATCAAAACGGTGTTTCTGGTGTCTGATGCCAGTCCCAAAGAGGTAGGTGATTCCAATTTGGCTTGTCCTGATGCTTGGTTTTTCGGGGGTTGCCCTAGATGGTATGTGGTTGTATGTATCTCTCAAGGATGTATGTTTGTGTGTGTGTCCCAAGGAGGTACGTGTGTGTGTGTGTGTGTGTGTCCCAAGGAGGTACGTGTGTGTGTGTGTGTCCCAAGGAGGTACGTGTGTGTGTGTGTGTGTGTGTCCCAAGGAGGTACGTGTGTGTGTGTGTGGTCCCAAGGTAGTATGGGGTACTGCTGGCTTGTAAGAGGTGTGTGGTTGCAACGAGCTGTGTGGTTGCAACGAGCTGTGTGGTTGCAACGAGCTGTGTGGTTGCAACGAGCTGTGTGGTTGCAACGAGCTGTGTGGTTGCAACGAGCTGTGTGGTTGCAACGAGCTGTGTGGTTGCAACGAGCTGTGTGGTTGCAACGAGCTGTGTGGTTGCAACGAGCTGTGTGGTTGCGACGAGCTGTGTGGTTGCAACGAGCTGTGTGGTTGCAACGAGCTGTGTGGTTGCAACGAGCTGTGTGGTTGCAACGAGCTGTGTGGTTGCAACGAGCTGTGTGGTTGCAACGAGCTGTGTGGTTGCAACGAGGTGTGTGGTTGCAACGAGCTGTGTGGTTGCAACGAGCTGTGTGGTTGCAACGAGCTGTGTGGTTGCAACGAGCTGTGTGGTTGCAACGAGGTGTGTGGTTGCAACGAGCTGTGTGGTTGCAACGAGGTGTGTGGTTGCAACGAGGTGTGTGGTTGCAACGAGCTGTGTGGTTGCAACGAGCTGTGTGGTTGCAACGAGCTGTGTGGTTGCAACGAGGTGTGTGGTTGCAACGAGCTGTGTGGTTGCAACGAGCTGTGTGGTTGCAACGAGCTGTGTGGTTGCAACGAGCTGTGTGGTTGCAACAAGCTGTGTGGTTGCAACGAGCTGTGTGGTTGCAACGAGCTGTGTGGTTGCAACGAGCTGTGTGGTTGCAACGAGGTGTGTGGTTGCAACGAGCTGTGTGGTTGCAACGAGCTGTGTGGTTGCAACGAGGTGTGTGGTTGCAACGAGCTGTGTGGTTGCAACGAGGTGTGTGGTTGCAACGAGGTGTGTGGTTGCAACGAGCTGTGTGGTTGCAACGAGGTGTGTGGTTGCAACGAGGTGTGTGGTTGCAACGAGCTGTGTGGTTGCAACGAGCTGTGTGGTTGCAACGAGGTGTGTGGTTGCAACGAGGTGTGTGGTTGCAACGAGGTGTGTGGTTGCAACGAGGTGTGTGGTTGCAACGAGCTGTGTGGTTGCAACGAGCTGTGTGGTTGCAACGAGGTGTGTGGTTGCAACGAGCTTTTTCTTGTGTCTGATGCCAGCCCCAAGGAGGTATGTTGTTCCTTTTCGCCTATGGTCCCTCCCAAGGAGGTATGTGGTGGCGAGGAGGTGTGTGGTGGCGAGGAGGTGTGTGGTGGCGAGGAGGTGTGTGGTGGCGAGGAGGTGTGTGGTGGCGAGGAGGTGTGTGGTGGCGAGGAGGTGTGTGGTGGCGACGTGTGTGGTGGCGAGGAGGTGTGTGGTGGCGAGGAGGTGTGTGGTGGCGAGGAGGTGTGTGGTGGCGAGGTGTATGGTGGCGAGGAGGTGTGTGGTGGCGAGGTGTGTGGTGGCGAGGAGGTGTGTGGTGGCGAGGTGTGTGGTGGCGAGGAGGTGTGTGGTGGCGAGGAGGTGTGTGGTGGCGAGGAGGTGTGTGGTGGCGAGGAGGTGTGTGGTGGCGAGGAGGTGTGTGGTGGCGAGGTGTGTGGTGGCGAGGAGGTGTGTGGTGGCGAGGTGTGTGGTGGCGAGGAGGTGTGTGGTGGCGAGGAGGTGTGTGGTGGCGAGGAGGTGTGTGGTGGCGAGGAGGTGTGTGGTGGCGAGGAGGTGTGTGGTGGCGAGGTGTGTGGTGGCGAGGAGGTGTGTGGTGGCGAGGTGTGTGGTGGCGAGGAGGTGTGTGGTGGCGAGGAGGTGTGTGGTGGCGAGGAGGTGTGTGGTGGCGAGGAGGTGTGTGGTGGCGAGGAGGTGTGTGGTGGCGAGGAGGTGTGTGGTGGCGAGGAGGTGTGTGGTGGCGAGGAGGTGTGTGGTGGCGAGGAGGTGTGTGGTGGCGAGGAGGTGTGTGGTGGCGAGGAGGTGTGTGGTGGCGAGGAGGTGTGTGGTGGCGAGGAGGTGTGTGGTGGCGAGGAGGTGTGTGGTGGCGAGGAGGTGTGTGGTGGCGAGGAGGTGTGTGGTGGCGAGGAGGTGTGTGGTGGCGAGGAGGTGTGTGGTGGCGAGGAGGTGTGTGGTGGCGAGGAGGTGTGTGGTGGCGAGGAGGTGTGTGGTGGCGAGGAGGTGTGTGGTGGCGAGGAGGTGTGTGGTGGCGAGGAGGTGTGTGGTGGCGAGGAGGTGTGTGGTGGCGAGGAGGTGTGTGGTGGCGAGGAGGTGTGTGGTGGCGAGGAGGTGTGTGGTGGCGAGGAGGTGTGTGGTGGCGAGGAGGTGTGTGGTGGCGAGGAGGTGTGTGGTGGCGAGGAGGTGTGTGGTGGCGAGGAGGTGTGTGGTGGCGAGGAGGTGTGTGGTGGCGAGGAGGTGTGTGGTGGCGAGGAGGTGTGTGGTGGCGAGGAGGTGTGTGGTGGCGAGGAGGTGTGTGGTGGCGAGGAGGTGTGTGGTGGCGAGGAGGTGTGTGGTGGCGAGGAGGTGTGTGGTGGCGAGGAGGTGTGTGGTGGCGAGGAGGTGTGTGGTGGCGAGGAGGTGTGTGGTGGCGAGGAGGTGTGTGGTGGCGAGGAGGTGTGTGGTGGCGAGGAGGTGTGTGGTGGCGAGGAGGTGTGTGGTGGCGAGGAGGTGTGTGGTGGCGAGGAGGTGTGTGGTGGCGAGGAGGTGTGTGGTGGCGAGGAGGTGTGTGGTGGCGAGGAGGTGTGTGGTGGCGAGGAGGTGTGTGGTGGCGAGGAGGTGTGTGGTGGCGAGGAGGTGTGTGGTGGCGAGGAGGTGTGTGGTGGCGAGGAGGTGTGTGGTGGCGAGGAGGTGTGTGGTGGCGAGGAGGTGTGTGGTGGCGAGGAGGTGTGTGGTGGCGAGGAGGTGTGTGGTGGCGAGGAGGTGTGTGGTGGCGAGGAGGTGTGTGGTGGCGAGGAGGTGTGTGGTGGCGAGGAGGTGTGTGGTGGCGAGGAGGTGTGTGGTGGCGAGGAGGTGTGTGGTGGCGAGGAGGTGTGTGGTGGCGAGGAGGTGTGTGGTGGCGAGGAGGTGTGTGGTGGCGAGGAGGTGTGTGGTGGCGAGGAGGTGTGTGGTGGCGAGGAGGTGTGTGGTGGCGAGGAGGTGTGTGGTGGCGAGGAGGTGTGTGGTGGCGAGGAGGTGTGTGGTGGCGAGGAGGTGTGTGGTGGCGAGGAGGTGTGTGGTGGCGAGGAGGTGTGTGGTGGCGAGGAGGTGTGTGGTGGCGAGGAGGTGTGTGGTGGCGAGGAGGTGTGTGGTGGCGAGGAGGTGTGTGGTGGCGAGGAGGTGTGTGGTGGCGAGGAGGTGTGTGGTGGCGAGGAGGTGTGTGGTGGCGAGGAGGTGTGTAGGTGGCGAGGAGGTGTGTGGTGGCGAGGAGGTGTGTGGTGGCGAGGAGGTGTGTGGTGGCGAGGAGGTGTGAGGTGGCGAGGAGGTGTGTGGTGGCGAGGAGGTGTGTGGTGGCGAGGAGGTGTGTGGTGGCGAGGAGGTGGATGGTGGCGAGGAGGTGTGTGGTGGCGAGGAGGTGTGTGGTGGCGAGGAGGTGTGTGGTGGCGAGGAGGTGTGTGGTGGCGAGGAGGTGTGTGGTGGCGAGGAGGTGTGTGGTGGCGAGGAGGTGTGTGGTGGCGAGGAGGTGTGTGGTGGCGAGGAGGTGTGTGGTGGCGAGGAGGTGTGTGGTGGCGAGGAGGTGTGTGGTGGCGAGGAGGTGTGTGGTGGCGAGGAGGTGTGTGGTGGCGAGGAGGTGTGTGGTGGCGAGGAGGTGTGTGGTGGCGAGGAGGTGTGTGGTGGCGAGGAGGTGTGTGGTGGCGAGGAGGTGTGTGGTGGCGAGGAGGTGTGTGGTGGCGAGGAGGTGTGTGGTGGCGAGGAGGTGTGTGGTGGCGAGGAGGTGTGTGGTGGCGAGGAGGTGTGTGGTGGCGAGGAGGTGTGTGGTGGCGAGGAGGTGTGTGGTGGCGAGGAGGTGTGAGGTGGCGAGGAGGTGTGTGGTGGCGAGGAGGTGTGTGGTGGCGAGGAGGTGTGTGGTGGCGAGGAGGTGTGAGGTGGCGAGGAGGTGTGTGGTGGCGAGGAGGTGTGTGGTGGCGAGGAGGTGTGTGGTGGCGAGGAGGTGTGTGGTGGCGAGGAGGTGTGTGGTGGCGAGGAGGTGTGTGGTGGCGAGGAGGTGTGTGGTGGCGAGGAGGTGTGTGGTGGCGAGGAGGTGTGTGGTGGCGAGGAGGTGTGTGGTGGCGAGGAGGTGTGTGGTGGCGAGGAGGTGTGTGGTGGCGAGGAGGTGTGTGGTGGCGAGGAGGTGTGTGGTGGCGAGGAGGTGTGTGGTGGCGAGGAGGTGTGTGGTGGCGAGGAGGTGTGTGGTGGCGAGGAGGTGTGTGGTGGCGAGGAGGTGTGTGGTGGCGAGGAGGTGTGTGGTGGCGAGGAGGTGTGTGGTGGCGAGGAGGTGTGTGGTGGCGAGGAGGTGTGTGGTGGCGAGGAGGTGTGAGGTGGCGAGGAGGTGTGTGGTGGCGAGGAGGTGTGTGGTGGCGAGGAGGTGTGTGGTGGCGAGGAGGTGTGTGGTGGCGAGGAGGTGTGTGGTGGCGAGGAGGTGTGTGGTGGCGAGGAGGTGTGTGGTGGCGAGGAGGTGTGTGGTGGCGAGGAGGTGTGAGGTGGCGAGGAGGTGTGTGGTGGCGAGGAGGTGTGTGGTGGCGAGGAGGTGTGTGGTGGCGAGGAGGTGTGAGGTGGCGAGGAGGTGTGTGGTGGCGAGGAGGTGTGTGGTGGCGAGGAGGTGTGTGGTGGCGAGGAGGTGTGTGGTGGCGAGGAGGTGTGTGTGGCGAGGAGGTGTGGTGGCGAGGAGGTGTGTGGTGGCGAGGAGGTGTGTGGTGGCGAGGAGGTGTGTGGTGGCGAGGAGGTGTGTGGTGGCGAGGAGGTGTGTGGTGGCGAGGAGGTGTGTGGTGGCGAGGAGGTGTGGTGGCGAGGAGGTGTGTGGTGGCGAGGAGGTGTGTGGTGGCGAGGAGGTGTGTGGTGGCGAGGAGGTGTGAGGTGGCGAGGAGGTGTGTGGTGGCGAGGAGGTGTGTGGTGGCGAGGAGGTGTGTGGTGGCGAGGAGGTGTGTGGTGGCGAGGAGGTGTGTGGTGGCGAGGAGGTGTGGGTGGCGAGGAGGTGTGTGGTGGCGAGGAGGTGTGTGGTGGCGAGGAGGTGTGTGGTGGCGAGGAGGTGTGAGGTGGCGAGGAGGTGTGTGGTGGCGAGGAGGTGTGTGGTGGCGAGGAGGTGTGTGGTGGCGAGGAGGTGTGTGGTGGCGAGGAGGTGTGAGGTGGCGAGGAGGTGTGTGGTGGCGAGGAGGTGTGTGGTGGCGAGGAGGTGTGTGGTGGCGAGGAGGTGTGTGGTGGCGAGGAGGTGTGAGGTGGCGAGGAGGTGTGTGGTGGCGAGGAGGTGTGTGGTGGCGAGGAGGTGTGTGGTGGCGAGGAGGTGTGTGGTGGCGAGGAGGTGTGAGGTGGCGAGGAGGTGTGTGGTGGCGAGGAGGTGTGTGGTGGCGAGGAGGTGTGTGGTGGCGAGGAGGTGTGAGGTGGCGAGGAGGTGTGTGGTGGCGAGGAGGTGTGTGGTGGCGAGGAGGTGTGTGGTGGCGAGGAGGTGTGAGGTGGCGAGGAGGTGTGTGGTGGCGAGGAGGTGTGAGGTGGCGAGGAGGTGTGTGGTGGCGAGGAGGTGTGTGGTGGCGAGGAGGTGTGTGGTGGCGAGGAGGTGTGTGGTGGCGAGGAGGTGTGTGGTGGCGAGGAGGTGTGTGGTGGCGAGGAGGTGTGTGGTGGCGAGGAGGTGTGTGGTGGCGAGGAGGTGTGTGGTGGCGAGGAGGTGTGTGGTGGCGAGGAGGTGTGTGGTGGCGAGGAGGTGTGTGGTGGCGAGGAGGTGTGTGGTGGCGAGGAGGTGTGTGGTGGCGAGGAGGTGTGTGGTGGCGAGGAGGTGTGTGGTGGCGAGGAGGTGTGTGGTGGCGAGGAGGTGTGTGGTGGCGAGGAGGTGTGTGGTGGCGAGGAGGTGTGTGGTGGCGAGGAGGTGTGTGGTGGCGAGGAGGTGTGTGGTGGCGAGGAGGTGTGTGGTGGCGAGGAGGTGTGTGGTGGCGAGGAGGTGTGTGGTGGCGAGGAGGTGTGTGGTGGCGAGGAGGTGTGTGGTGGCGAGGAGGTGTGTGGTGGCGAGGAGGTGTGTGGTGGCGAGGAGGTGTGTGGTGGCGAGGAGGTGTGTGGTGGCGAGGAGGTGTGTGGTGGCGAGGAGGTGTGTGGTGGCGAGGAGGTGTGTGGTGGCGAGGAGGTGTGTGGTGGCGAGGAGGTGTGTGTGTGGCGAGGAGGTGTGTGGTGGCGAGGAGGTGTGTGGTGGCGAGGAGGTGTGTGGTGGCGAGGAGGTGTGTGGTGGCGAGGAGGTGTGTGGTGGCGAGGAGGTGTGTGGTGGCGAGGAGGTGTGTGGTGGCGAGGAGGTGTGTGGTGGCGAGGAGGTGTGTGGTGGCGAGGAGGTGTGTGGTGGCGAGGAGGTGTGTGGTGGCGAGGAGGTGTGTGCTTCCATTCTCCCTTCCTTCATCTTTTAGTTCCCGTTCTCTTCTCCTCAACCGACTGAGATTCGCAATGCTCTATTTCAACACATTCAGGACCTTCGTCTTGTTATTCTCCTCCCACTCCTACCCCCTTCCCTTCCTGCCTTCTTTCCCCTTTCAGTTCCCTGTCCTGTCTTTCTGATTCCCTCGTCTCCCCAACCAGCTAACTCCTTAGGTGTACCTGAGATTTGCAATGCTCTCGTCCAACGCATTCAGGAATCAGCATCTTCAACTAGTCATGCTACCTCCTTGTCAGCATTCAGCATTCAGGATGCTACCTCCTTGTCCCGTTCCCCTTCCCCCGCTTCCTTCCCTTCTCACTCCCCCCAACCAGCTGACTGAGATTCGCAACGCTCTCTTCCAACACATTCAGGACCTTCGACTCGTCATGCTGCCCCCAAACCTTCGCGGGCAGAAATGGGCTGCCCGGCTGAAAAGTTACGACTTTCAGCACCAGGGGCTGATCGTTTCCACTGTAGACAAATGCGTTGCTGCCCTGGCTGATATTTTTCTCGGGACCGCTGGATCGAGCTTTACCCTTGACATCCAACGGCTGAGATCGGGCCTCAGGATGGCCAGCTGTGAAGATTCGTTCATTTGTGAGGGTGCCAGTGGGCATGCGTAGTGTACAACGGTTCTGGTGATATGGCACGGCATGTCATCTAATTACCGGTACCAGTATTCTGGAATTTACAGTGGTGTTGCAGAAGATCTGGCATGTTTCACTACCAGGTGGCATGATGGTATCAGGTGCACTTATTACATGTTGCTATCATCCCACACATACCTATGCTTGCCTTATGAAGACAGCTACATACTGTAAGCATCTACAAAATACGCTCACTCTTGCTTGTTAAATGGCAACAAAACAAACCTCACTACTAGTCCCTCTACACTATAATGCTGTAAGCAACACAGCACAAACTCAGCACAGTATGTTCAAATCCATAGCCATGCTACTGTAGAGTCTACATGGTAGCGTATCTCTGTGAACTCTCCCCCTACTCCCCTCCCCCCTTCCCCACCTCTTATCCTACAGCCCCCTTCCTCCCCATCCCCCTTTCCCTCCCCTCACCTCCCCCCCTCCTTTCCCCCAAGAGTTTGTTTCACAGCACTTCCCGTATCAGCTGTTCCCGATACTTTCCTACCTATCGCTTGCTCTTCTTGCTTTCCCCCAACCCCCTCCTCCTTCTCCTCCCCATCCTCCCCATCCTCCCCATCCTCCCCATCCTCCACTTGCTCCCCCTTCCTCTGGTTGTTCCCCTCATCATCCTCCTCCCCACCTGTCCCAATTCCTTTCACCACTACCACTACGTCCTCCTCTCCCTCTTCCACTATTGCTTTTACCACCAACAATCCCTCTCCCTCCTCTCCCACTGCTTTCACCACTAGTACTTCCTCCTCCTCTCCCTCCACTTCCCCCTCTTCCTCCGTTCCCTTATTTCCCTCCCCATCCCTTTTCTCCGCTTCCCCCTCCTTGCTCCCCTCCTCTTCTTCCTCCCCTCGGCTCTTTGGCAGCTTGAGTCCAAATCTCTTTTCGAAATCCACATCCTTGCATCCAAACATGTACCCAAGCCCATACTTCTCCGCCTTACCCGCTTCCAGCAGCAGCTTATAACGAGGACGGAGCCTCTTCTCCACGCTCCGCGTCAGCAGCGCCGGCCACATCGCCACGTCACCAAGCCCCCGCCCCATATCCTCTACAACAAATCGAATCTTCGATTCTAGGGTTTCCCACGTAAACGCAATCACCAGCGGCATCTGGTTCATTATCCGAACCGCGGTTTCCCGCCCAAAAAGGTTTATCAGATTCGTTAGAGTCACAACCATGCTGTCCCAGTTTTGGCCCAGCAGCAGCGGCTGGCGCATCAGGAATCGGCGCGCTTGTTCCTCCCCAAAATACTCCACCATCCCTTTATAAGTCGCTTCTGTAGTTTCGTGCTTCACTAAGAGCAGCTGCGGGTACCGCCGCAAGTAGTACAGCATATCCCCGTTCTTATCCCCCAGAATCGACTGGATCAATAGAACCTTCCGCTGGATCTCCGACGCCCTACCCCCCAAAACAAACGGGGAAGTTTCGAGAATATCCGCTACTGGGGTCAACCCTGCCAATTCCAGCTGCCGAACCTTCTCCTGTAGGGTCGGTACGGTCAGGTTTAAAACAAACGGGAAACTTTGGACGACCATATCTATTCTCTTAACGCCCAATTCGTAGCGCAGATAGTGCAAAGCGGCTGCGAGAGTCTCTTCCGAGACGGAAAACACGCATGCGCGAGTCGCGGCGCGTAGGAGACTAATCGGCGAGATGCCGTACTCCTTAAATAAGGCCGTCTTCTGGCTAGTGAGGGAGTTGAAGTCCGTTTGGAAGAGCGACGGATTCCGGTGGAAAATAGTCAGAAGCTGTTTATCCGAGAGCGCGCCGTTAGAGAGGTGGCTGAGGATTAAGAGGTTCTGACTCGCTATTGAGCCAATGCTGGCGTGGCGCCTGGGGTATTTGAGCGATAGCTCGTGCATGACGCGTCTAAACCTGGCGGCTTCAGCGGGGGGAAACGAGTCAAGCTCTGCTAATACCGCATCGTACTGTGTCGCGTACGGCCCATCCGTCCCCTCTTTGTCACCGCCTCCAGGCCTCTGCTCCCCCTGTTCCCCCTGTTCCCCCTGTTCCCCCTGTTCCCCCTGTTCCCCCTGTTCCCCCTGTTCCCCCTGTTCCCCCAGTCCTCTTTGACCCACCTGTTCCCCCGGGTCCTCATGCCGTTTCTGCCCGCTGTTGCTACTGCCGCTGCTGTTGCTGCCGCTGCTGCCATTGCTGTTCCTGCTGCCGTCGTCGATTGGCGTTGCATCCACGTCAGCTACTCGCGTCGCAGCAAGCGATTGCTTGCGCAGATGCTTCGTCGCTCCGCCTCTACTACGCGCCGTGAAACTCTGAGAGTGCGCAGAGCTCACCGCTTTCCGCGGAACCGGCAAATGCAGGGAACGGCGCGCCCCATCGTCCCCGTATGCGCAAACCACGCCAGTCGGAGGCGCTGGTGCGGAGATCTGGGGATTGGCGCGGAGGAGCATCTCCGCGTGCGACCTTTGGAGTTTACTCTAAAGTCGCGATCGCAAATGGAGCGTGCAATAAGTTGTTTCCGAATCCGCTGCTGCAAATGAATAATCACTCGCTGATTTGATGTTTTTCGAGGCACTGGATTCTATGATGCGAGCAAGGGTACTAACGGGGTTTATAGAGGTTGGGTTCGGGCTCGGGAGTCAGGAATTACGAACAAGGTTTTAGGGGCTCAAATTTCAAGTTGGGGGAGTGAAATTGGCGGCGAACAAGGATTCCGTTATGCGAAATCGGTCGTGAGGAAGTGTACAATGAAAGCATGAGAGCATGAGCAAAACACACAGCCTATATGGGAAAATGGACTTCTGTACAATTATACATCTTACATATAGAGATTCTTATTATAAACTTCAGCCTACTCTTACAGCTGCCTTCATCCCCTTTTCACAGTCCTGCCCTGTTAGAGATGCAAAGTACAGGCTGTACCTTTTTCTGCTCTGTGTAGGGACTACAAACTTGTATACCCCGTAGAATCTTGGACTTAGGAGTTGCAGAGCTTGAGTCCGATCACAATTATCATATGCAGCTTTGTTTTCAAGCCATTGTAGGTCATGCTGGCCAAGCCAACGGAACACTGAGAGGAGGGTAAGGGGAATGAATAAAACAGAGTAATAAAAATATATGTAATATTGAATGCGGGGACAAGGCATTCTTGCTCCGTTGCATATATAATGAAGCAGCACTTGCCACCGTACCAAGAATGTCTCCGGGTTTGACAGGGTGGCCCTGCCACTTTTGAGCTCCATACGTCCAGCCAAAGAACTTCTTCAGACCAAGACGAACCATGCGAGCCTGGAAAGCACAAGAGTCGCATAAATGGTGGATGATAGGGATGGGAAGAAATGACAGAGTGAATAGGAATCGAGACTTGACATATGAATGTACGGACAGCAGAAGCACCCTAGTGTAGCGTCGACAATAAACAAAATAGCGTTTACCTGACCACAAGGAGCGACTGTTGCGGGGTTGCACCACCAAAGAAAAGGGAGGTCGACACGTGGTCAAATGAGGTAGCAGCGCATGTGGGAGTGGGGAGCAGAAAGGACAGCCGAAGGAGAAGGTCACATGACATAGAGAGGCGGGAAATGGAGTGGAGAGAGTGGAGAAGGTCACATCACAGCGCATGTGGGATTGCGGGGCAGAAAGGACAGTCGAAGGAGACGGTCACATGACATTTCGAAGGACAGCGCATGTGGGAGTGGCGGGAAACGGAGTGGAGAAAGTGGGAAGGGGGAACCGGTGAGGGCAATACGGAGAGTGGTGGGAAACGACGCCACAAAGAGGTAAGGTGCAGCAGCAAAATTAGGTTGTGGCCGCACTGTTCATATAACGGGTTCTTCCTGTACTCGGTCTGTAATGTGCGTGATCCAGACGTGCACAGAACGTTTGCATAAAATACTCACAAAAACCAATTGCTGGAACTCCAAATGGTCTGTGCTCTGAATACGCGGCAGTGAAACGAAATCTCAAGGCGACGACGAAAAGCCCTAGCAGCAGCGAAACAGAGGGCATCGTGTAACCATGTGGTAAATCTGTTGCAAATGAGCTGCCCTTCTCTCTTAGCTGACGTCACTTCCTGCTACTACGCCTGTTTCGGAAGATCCGAATCGAAGTATCGCTACTGGCACAATGACCGTGAAGAGAGAATGAGCACGCACTTGTCAGCGCGAGAAGCGCGAGTAGCAGGAGCACGCACGTCCTCGTATTCGCAGTGGAACCCAGTCGCAGCGTCATCGTCCCCTGTGCGACAAGGCACTTGGGCGGAAGTTTCGTTACCGCTGTCGGCGACGCCCTACGACGGACCCGACGGACGGGACCAACTGGCACGACACCCCGTCTGTAGCACTACTAAGGGATGTAAGTATAGCGAGGTGCCTTTCCCACAGGCCTAGGGACGGAGATATCGAATGCAAGTGTTTCTCACACAGGCTTGTTCAACAATCAACGGTACCCAGTGCATCCACGCACAGCCTACTGCCTCCAACACTCAAGACGCTGCATCCCGGCAGCATCTAGAGCCTTACGCTACACTCTAAGTACAGCCAGGAATATCTGAAAGAGCTGAAGGCAGACAAGAAAGAGGGACCGAAGGACGGAGGAGCGAAGGTCCTAGGGGAGAAGGCAGACAAATGAGCAGATGGCAGACGGATGAGTGGGTTTCTGGATGGGCGACGGAAGCGGGAGGGGGGTGATCGAATAGAAACGGTGATTGTAGGGGTTGGGTGATTGTTTGGGTTGGGGGGACCAATTTTTCCATCTGAGGCGGGATGGAAGAGCTATCTCGAAGGGGAGATTTGGGGTTCGTGACGTGAATTTTCGCAACGGCTGAAACTAGAGCGATATGTTACTAGATTTCGAGAGTGTTCGCATTGAGTGTGTCCACCTCGCATTATGTCGCGAAGGGCTACGCATTGTGATTCTCGCCAATTTTGGAAAATTGTGAAATGTGGCGATTCGGTTTGGCCGCGAACAATTGAACAAGCAATTCCCGCGGAATCTCATAGCTTGTACAGTCCGAGATTGTGCGCGTACACGCGTTTACTTCTACTTTCTACCTAGAAAGTCCTAAGGAACACTAATAATCATAACTATCCTGTAATGAATATTGGGAATCTGAAATGTCAGACTGACTGGAGTCTTCAGCAACACCATCTCCTGTCACAGGCCCGCCCACTGATGTAGCCACATCCTGGCTCTCAGCACCCAACTGTTGACTCTGAACCATCATCTCACCCGCATCATACTGAGTGAACGAATGCGGCAACACATAACCAAACTCGTCCGCTGATGTATACACCACTCCCATGTGTTCTGCACCTCCTGTACTCGCCATTCCAAAATGCTCTGCCTCAGAAGCTGACAAAACGGGTCCAGTGCTGCCCATCATGGGGTGCATGGGACTCCCCGCGGGATACACTGTGGTTCCCATGGGGTGCATGGGGCTACCCATGGGATGCATAGGACTGGCCATGGGGTGCATAGGTCTGCCCATGGGGTGCATGGGGCTACCCATGGAGTGCATGGGACTACCCATGGGATGCATGGGACTACCCATGCTCATGCCATGCATTGGGCTGCCAGTGATAGTTTGGGTGGCGAAGGATGGACCCGCTACAGACTGGGCGGGGCTGCTCATATAGGGTACAGGACTGAGCATTGTTGACCCAGACTGTCCGCCATAAACCGAACCTGACGTGTCCGAGCCTGTGGCGGTTGCTTCGGATTCAGAAACAGAGGCGGACTGGGGAAAGCTGAAGCTCCCTGTAGGTTGGTGTGCGCCTGAAGCCGTACCCCCGTCTCCTCCTGCTGCCTCTGTTGCTGCTCCTGCTGCTTCTCCTTCTCCTCCTCCTCCTTCTCCTGCTCCTCCTGCTCCTGCTGTTGCTGCTGCTGCGTGATACACATGGGGTGGCATGTACCCAACGTTGACTTGAGCGAGATTCTGGGCTGCCCCTTGGGCGGCAGCCTGGGCGGCATCACGGGCGGCATAAGCGGCAGTGGCAGCACCTGGAGCGATATCCTGAGCTGCCCCTTGGGCGGCAGCCTGGGCGGCAGCGCGGGCAGCATAGGCAGCGGCATAAGCGGCAGTGGCAGCACCTGGAGTGAACTCGGTATAGAGTGACGAGGATGTATTGGCCTCTGCCTCGGAACCCGTTACAGAGGATGTGGTAACCGATGCGGAGTGCGGAAACATGGGAACAGTGCCGGCTGTAAAAGGACCAGTATTAGCTGTTTGTACTGTAGATGGTGCTGTACCCGATTGTGTTTCCGCGCCTGTGCTTGTACTCGTCGAGTCTCCATCCGCTACAGTAGAAACCCTGCTCAATTCCCCTTCAGAAGGCGTCACTGTTGTTTCACCCGTTTGAAGGCTGTACGCCGAGGGAGTGTACGCCGACGTAGTGTATGTCGAGAATGGGGTGTAGCCGGAAGCGTACGGAGATGGGGTGTACGCTGATGACTGAGGCCCGGGAGTATAAGCCGATGGAGTATAGCCGGATTGGGTAGTGTAGCCAGATGGTGTATAACCAGAGTGAGGAGTGTACCCAGATGAAGTGTACCCTGAATATCCAGCACCAGATTGCGTGTACGCGGTATAAGAGGTGGTCGTCGAGGTTGGAGTTGGATCCGAATTGTAGTTGGACGATAACGGCGAAGCTCGCGAATCCGTGTGCGACTGCGAAGTGGTTTCGGAGTACTGCGACTGCGACTCGGTGTCCTCGCCACTTGACTCGGTCAGGCTCGACCCCGTGCCATGGCGACCGATGCTCGCGATGTGGTCCGGAACGCCTGCCGAAGCAAGGACCGCCGCAGGGTCGGACGGCTGTGCAAAGGGCAAAAGCCGCGGTAATGAGGAAAAAGGAGGCGGTTGAATTAGGTGTTTTAATGACGATGTTAACTAAGGGGACCCTCGCCAGTCGAAGGCACGGAGAGGGGAGGGTAATAGGAGGAAGACAGAGGAGAGAGCAGCAGATGAAGGATTTTCATTCAAGGTGTTCTGGTGTAATATGTATTCTGGTGTAATCCGTGCGTGTACCCTGAACATATATGCGGCAGTTGATGTGTAATGAGTGAAATGACTCACGAAATAGCTTGGAGGGCCGTATGACAATCCAGTAGGGTACGCCGCTGTTCCCCGCGCGCCCCCTCCTCCCACACCACCGCCGCCACCGGCGCCGCCGTCACCGCCGCTCCCGCGCGACTGTTCAATGTAGAGCTCATCCACGTGGACCCCCAGCGTCTCCTTCAGTTTCTTTTCCCTGTCCTCCCTAAACCTTCTCGCGCCTGCTATTAACGCGTACTCGCCCATGTCCATGACTTGTCTGCGTTTGTAGCCACCCGGATAGTAGCATAGCTTGAACCACAAGAAAAGAAAGAGCGTGAAAAAAATACTCGACGTGGTAATGGCGATTCCGAGAGGTAACTCTCCGGGCTTTAAGAGCGGCTCGAGGATATCGGGAACGACCTCTTGGGCCGACGCCATGCTTTCTCTTAGTTCTTATCTCAGTCTTGCAAACGATTCAGGCCGTCACTAAGGAGAGCAGTCGTTTTTTTTTACATCGGAGGGACTTATCCTGTCTGAGAATGAATGGGCAGAAAACTATGAGTATTCGCAGGACTGCTCTGTGGGTAAACGCTTCTCATAATCAAGACCGTCCTCGCATAATAAATTGCACGGCTACGAAGTTCAACGCGCACTCAAGTTAACGTTTGGAGAAGAAGCGAGGAGGAACTATGAGTTTTGAAACTAGTCGCGATGAGAATGAAGAGAGCAAGCAATGAGGGAAAATCTCACCAAAAGCTGGGGCTGGTGGTGGTGGTGAGGTGACTGACTGCAGTACCAGCAGAATTTCACGCCTCTGTTGGCGTGGAGCTTGAGTAGAGATTTCCGCCCGTGTTCTCGAATCCCAAGCTGGTAACTACAGTCGTATGGAACCCCAGTTTCCCCGTGGCGATGTTCGTGATATCTTCAACGACCTGCACTTTTTCCAAGCGACAACTTGTATTCCACCCACCCTCATGCCACCTGTTGTCCCGCACCGCATGTGCGACGCGAGAGCGTCGGAGAGTATGGCGGACTCTCATTGGCCCGCAAGAGATGTTGCAAATTCGCTGGCCATGGTTTGCCTGGACGAGTAGCAATTACAGTTCGCGCATATGAAACCACTTTCGGGAAGTAATTCTCGCATCTGTGTTACAAGCAAGTGCTAGAACAAAACGACCAAAATACAATTACCATAAAATTTCAGCATACACAACCAGTAACCAAGGCAAAAGGGAGGGTTTCATCCAATACCAAGCATCTCATAGGTAACTAGCGTTCTAATCCACTCTCAACATTCAGAACCCTCTCTGAACTGCGCCATGGTAGGCAAATGCCTCCCACATGCTTTGTTCTGGCATCGTTGCTTCCTCGACGAGCTCCGCTCGCCACACACACACTCCTTCACCCACGTCCCCCCAGCAATCTGATACGCCTTAAAGCCATCCTTCTCCAACACCTCCCCAACAGGCTCCGATTTACCCTCCTCCTGTCCTACCACCTCACCTGCCGCCTTTCCCGCTCCCGTAGCAGCCGCGAATGGCAATCCGTCAGACCCACCAGACTCCTCATTCCCAATGGGATGAACAGTGGAAGGAACACCATCAACATGCGTGTCATCAGCAGCACCATCAGCAGCAGCAACAGCAGCAGTGATGGTACCAGGAACTGGCCCCAAATCCTTCTTCTCCTCATCATCAGCTCCCCTAACCCCCTTCTCCACACCTGCTACAGCCTCTGGAGCAGTCAAATCAGCACTCGCCCTACCATCAGCCTTGTTGCCCTCACCCCTATTAGAATCACTCTCCTTACCATCTACACTCATACTTGCTTTCTTCACCCCCTCTCCCTCACTCCTCTCCCATCTCCCTCTTACCACCCTTCCCTCCTCACCACCCCCATTCCCACTTCCTCCCCCACCGCTTCCCACGCCCCCACCCCTTCCACTCCACAACTCAGGGGTTTTCTTAACCCAAGCCGCCACCTCAGCACCCTTCGCCACCACCAGCCTCGGCCGATCCTCATCGCTCTGGAACGGCGACCCGAGCCTAGCCAGCTCGGGAACCACCGCGCCTCTCAGATGCCTCTTTCTCGACCTCCCCACCCCAACCTCAATCTCCATTTCACGCGGTAACCGCTTCCCCGCCTCCACCGCCCCTGCGACCAGCTCCAGCCAATAGCGCAGCGCCACCTGTGCGCCGTGATAGGATAACCCCGAGAGATGCAGCGTCCAGTGCGGCCAATCGCGCGAGAACAGCCGTGCGATCTGACGCGTGCTGACCATGGCTTTAAGGACGGCGACGGACAGCTCGCGGCGGTCGAAAAGGAAGAGCAGAGAGAGAAGGTTGTTGCAGAGGGGCTTCTGGTCCCTGGGATGCACGCCTGCTACGGTTCGGTCCAGCAGGGTGGTGAAGAGAGTAGTTGGGTCTGTGCCTTGCTCTGCTGCTGGTGATTTTGCTGCTGATTGTGTGCCTTCTGCTGCTCCTGCCGCCGCTGCTGCTGCTGTTGCAGCTGCTGCCACCGTCCCTGCTGCTGCTCCTGTCACTCCCTCCCCTTCCTCGTCATCTACCTCCTTCTCCAGTGCTTCCCCCAACCCCACCACCACCAACTCATGAATGCGCGGGTCAACCTCTTTCAAGCAGTCCAGAAGAAGCTTCCTCACAGCTACCATCCCTTGCGATGCCTGCACAGGGGCATCGCTCGTCACCCTCTCAGTGCTCATTTCTTTGTCAAAACCTTTTTCGGGCACCTCCAGAATATTTTTAGGGGAGGTGAAACCCAGCAGGTCAAGGAAGACAATGGCCACATAGGTGTCGGGTTCGATTCCTGCCGCGAGCATTTTTTTGAAGTAGTGTGCTGAGAGGTCGAAGCGCCCCCCCTTGCCGAATCCGTGGATGATTGCTGTGTATACAGCCACACCTGTCCTTGATTCTGCTTCTGCTTCTGCCGCTGGCGGTGGTGCCGCATCTGCTGTTGCTGTTGCTGCTGGTGATGGTGATGTGGGGGTGGTTGACGATATCTCTGAAGGGGATTCAGAAGTTGAAGGGACAGCAAAGGCCTTGGTAGGCACCGCACTCAACCCACTCAGGTCCACGCCCAAACCAAGATACTCCTCTGAACCTGACCCCCTGCTTCGGTCACCCCTGCTGGTGCTACGGCCGCCAAGGTAAATCCCGGCTGCTCTAGCATCTGCTAGTAACGCCTCCACCTCCGCTACAGCCGGATCCGTTCCAGCCAGCCCTGCTACAGCCGTCCCAGCTACAGCCGTCCCCGCTACAGCCGACCCGGCATTCCCAGCCTCTCCCTCCGCCCCTCCCCGCCCGCCCTTCTCAGCAAACAGACCTGCCAGCTGCCTCACGCTGTTCTCAGTCAGAACCACCCCATCCCTCTTCATGCCTGCATACGCCCTCCTTGCTTCCTCTACCAACCCACACTCCCGACATGCCTGCAGAATCACGCTGTAAAACGTCGCGTCGGGCCGAAACGGCCCGTCTCTCGCGCTCCTTCTGGTCCCGGCTGCCGTCCCGTCCTCGTTATAAGCCCGGCTCCCGTCCTCGTTATAAGCTCCCTCGCCAGCGAGATAAACCTCCCGCATCTCCTCGGCGAGCGCTAAGGCCTTCTCCACCTCGCCCTTCTCCGTGTACAGAGCCATCATTATAGTCACAGCCTCTGTAGTCACAGGCACATGTGGGTCCTGCTGCATGGTTCGAAAGACGATTTCGGCCTGCTGGTCGCGCCATGCCTTGGCGAGCACGTTTAGGGTTGCGTGGTACACTCCTGGGGTTACCAGCCGTGCGAAAGCAGGAGCTGCTGCTGCTGGTGCTGCTGGTGCTGCTGCTGCGGCTGCTGCTGGCGATGCTGGTGGTGCTGTTGTTGCTGATGCTGGCACTGCTGCTCCTGCTCCAGGCGCTGCTGCCTTTGTTGCTCCTTCAACTGCTGCCTCCTCGGCTGCTTCTTTCACAGCTTCTGATGACAAACCTGACTTCTCCCTCCCAGAAACAACCCCTTCGCCTCCCACCCCAACCCCCTCCTCCTCCCCACCACTCTCTCCCCCACCCCTCTTCCACACACCAGCCCCTCTCACCCCCATCCCCTCATCCACCCGCTTCATCTCCTTCCACAGATCATACGCCTCCTGCGGGCCCCCAGCCTCTCCAAAAGCAGTAATGATAGTGGCGTAGGTGACAGCGTCAGGGCGCCACCCTGTGGCCCGCATGCGCTCAAACAGCCTCACGGCGTCCCCCGGCCTGCCTGCGCGCCCCAGGGCGTGCATGACTGTGGCGTAAGAGACTTGATCCGGCATGCACTCGCTCTCAGCCATCTGTTCGAGCCATTTCAAAACCAACTCATGCTGATCGGCCCTGTTATTTGGGGAGAAAGGGAGAGCAAGAGGGGAGTGAAACGCGGTGATAAATTGATGATAGTGGCATAGGTGACAGCGTCAGGGGGCCAGCCTGTGGCTCTCCTGCGCTCAAAGAGACGTACAGCGTCCCCCGGCCTGCCTGCGCGCCCCAGGGCGTGCATGACTGTGGCATAGGAGACCTGGTCCGGCATGCACTCGCTTTCAGCCATTTGTTGCAGCCACTGCAGCACTAGCTTGTGTTGATCAGCCCTGGTGCATGCGGGAAACAGGAGGGAAGGAGAAGGGTGGTATGAGTGAAGTCCAGCTGCCTTGCCCGCCCGGCCTGCCTGCTCTCCCCTGCCTGCCCACCTCAGGGCGTGCATGACCGTGGCGTAGGAGACCTGGTCGGGGACAGTCTCCTACACCATCTGCTGCAGCCACTGCAGCACTAGCCCGTGCTGGTCCGCCCTGAGGTTGGGGGAGAAAAGGGGGATAAGCACAAGAGGGCGCAAAAATGGTAGCCTTCAAAGGTGAGACCGTGAGACGGCATCTGGGCGCCACCCAGTGGCCCGCATCAACCCCCCAGCCTCCCCAAACGCGGTGATGACTATTTGTTGCAGCCACTGCAGCACTAGCTCGTGTTGGTCCGCTCTGAGGTTGGGGGAGAAAAGGGGGATAAGCACAAGCTAGTTCTGCAGCGGCTGCAAACGGTACTATAAGTTGCAGCGAAGCCTGCCTGCGGACCCCAAGGGCGTGCATAGCAGTAGAGTAGGAGACCTGATCCGGCTTGCACTCACACTCACTCTCCGCCATCTGCATGTGCGTATCTGCATCCGCCATCTGCATGTGCTCTCCGCCATCTGCATGTGCTCTCCGCCATCTGCATAAGCGTATCGATAAACTGCACTATTACCAAACCAAACTACCTCATCTCATACCGTGTGGCGGGGCTGATAATAATGGAGTAAGTAACATTATCCAGCCCCAAACCCCTTTTGAGTCATCTCCGTTATAAGCTCCCTCATTCGCCCCCACAACCACCAAAGTACACTACCTCACAACATACCGTGTAGCGGAGCTGATAATAGTGGAGTAAGTGACGTTATCCAGCTCCACGCCCTTTTGAGTCATCTCCGTTAGAAGCTCCTTCATTCGCCCCCACTGCCGCCCCTTCCCCAGCGCCGCCAGCACCAGATTGTAGACGTACGTGCTTGGGCGAAAGGACTCCTGAAACGGGGGGAAGAGTGGGGTTGGGGGGCCAAGAGGGGGTGGGGGGGGGAGTGAAGGGTGGAGATCAGACAAGTGAGATAAGCAGCAAGCAACACTCTCTTCCCTTCCCCAGCGCCGCTAGTACCAGATTATAGACGTACGTGCTTGGCCGAAACAAATCCTGAAAACCGAGGAGCGGAGAGCGGAACAGGGACAAGGGACGAGGCAAAAATGGGGGTGGAGGGGGGTTGAGGGGGTGAGGGGGTGGGGTTGAGGGGGTGGGGGTGAGGGGGAGAGGGGAGAGGGGAGGAGTGAGAGGAGGGGGTTCTGATGGGCGTTCCCAAGCAGTCAACCCAAAATGGTCTACACTTCGTTAAACCCAGTGCTCATAACGAGTCAATTTGTAGCGTAATGTGCACCGTTCAAGAGCTGCCAAGGCCAATAAGCTGCATAATTAAAGCACAAACCAGCTCAGTCGAGATGTGGCGCCTCTAATGTTTCGGAAAATGATCACGAAACTCACAACTTTCGTTAGACACCTGACTTGAAAAAAAAAACGTTACCTGATTGCACCGAGCCGTACCTGCATGCACCGCACTGAACCTGCTTGGACCGAGCCGTACCTGTTTCCTCGCCCAATCAAAGAACGCGACGGTCATGCGCCAGTCCGCCGATTCTCTCAGCACCGTCGACACGTCCCTCCCCGTCAGAGTCAGCCCGAGGCGCTCCAGCCGTTGCGCCACCCGCCCACTCCCCTCGTCCCTCCCCCCATCACTACCCCCATCCCCTCCCCCAACCTTTCCCCCATCCTTCCCCACATCCTTTCTCCACTTATCCACGACTAGCCCGCGCCGATCCGCCCCGCTCTCCTGCGCCAGCACGTCCAGAACCTGCACCACGCGCGGCGGAAAGAACCCGCGCGCCCACGCATCTCCCCCTTCCGCACCGTCGGAGCCAGAAGGGGAAAACGGAGCAGCTTGTATCGGGTCAGATCTCGGCGCGGCTGGAGCAGCTCGGTCCGTGGCGCGCGAGCGAGCAAACTGCGGGTTATTCAGTTCCCTCGGTGAGGCGCTTCGAGATTTCACGTCAGCGCGTCTATAGACGTCCTTACTTTTGCTCCTATCGGAAGTGCTAGACGATCGGCTCCAGGAACGATCCGGAGGGGAACGATCAGCAGAGGAACGATTCGAAGCGGAACGCGTGTTCTCGCGCCTCGTGTCTCCGCCTCCAGCCCCGCTAACCCGACCGCCGGTTCCGGCGCGACTCCAGACGCGACTCCCGCCGCGACTCCCGCCGCGATTCCCGCCGCGACCAGCAAAGTCCCCGCCACGACCGCCCGACCCTCCCCGGCCACGACCTCGGTTAAACCCTCTCGATCTGCTAAACCCGTCCTGTCGTAGATTCCTATCAGATCCCGCGTCGCCTCCTTCGCCACGACCCTCGTCAGACGATCCCTCAGATCTTCGCTCAACATTTTGCTCAAATTTTCGCTCGCTGTCTGGTGAACTCTCGACGCTCGCTCTTGCTCCGGCAGTCTCGTCCCCGTTAGAAGCAGCAGGTGTTGTCCCGTTAAGAGATATCGGATCAGAAACCGCTACTCCAGGCGAACCGGACTCCCCCGATTCAGTCACACTGGCCCGTGTAGTCACATTCCGTTCAGTAATGCGGGTTTTAAACCCTCCGAATCTAGCAGGCTGCACGAGAGGACGCAATAAAGCGGTACGATTGAAAGCAAGCGAAGCCGTCGAATTTCGCAGGCTCGGGTATTCCAATGACGTGGTGTAACCTGGAAACAGAAGCACTCCTCGCGAAAGAACAACGGCCCCAAAAGGAGCCATTTTGCTTTAATAACCCAAGCGCACTAAGCGGATTCCACGGGTAGGAGACTCGAGTGCGACACAGGAAACAGCAACGCGTAGAACTCTACCGCAATGGTGTCGCTAGTCGCAACAGCAGAGCTGCTTCTAAGAAAATATGAAAGAGCTGAGTGGCTACTGAATAAGAGGTTTAGGAAGAGGATGAGGATAAGTGCTGAGAGGAGGGAGCAGCCTAGTTCCAAATTTCACGAGTGATTTAGGCGGTAACTGCTTGTTCCAGATTTCGCAATTGCGGTACCAGCAGATTCCAGGAGGGAAAATCTTTCCCTACATGGAAGTTCCTTAGTTTCATTTATAATTTGTGAAGATCACAAAGTGCAGAAAAATTGTATTCCTACAAAAAAACTATTTCAAACATCTGCATTGACAAGGCTCCTTTCAATAAGAGCTATGCATTGACCAACCGACTGGCCACTCAGCATGGCGATCGCCAACTCTTCATGCAGGTCTTTGTGGCGCCGCAATATAGTTGACACGTTCAATACTGCCCACCGCACCACATCGTCCGACTTGCTCTGGGTGAATCCCAATGACTTGTACAAAAAGTCCAACTGCAAACAAGAAGGCCAGTTCGGAAAAAAGCATGTGAACGGCACAGGAGACACGTGAATACGAAAAGACTTGGACAAAAAACAACTGGTAAGTTCACAGCAAGAGCAGATATGATTGCTACAGTCGGTGTAAAATGTACTGCCGATTCAAAAAATCGTTACCTGTTGAATGTCAGAAATGCCACCCTCTGCAACCCCGAATTGCAGGTACTCCGCACAAACTCCAGCCAGAGCCACACACGAGACAGCATCCAGCATCTGAAGCACATCCGTGGGGTGGGGAGAGCAGGAGGAATATGGAGGATTAAGGTGACGAAACGACATACTGATTAGGAAGCTGCAAGTGGCTTGCGAGACACACAGGCCAACACAACTGGTGAACAAAAGGTAACAAAGTGATACACAGAAAAAGAAAGAAAAGGAAAAAAAAAAAAAAGATTGTGAAGGCAGTAAAGCCTTCACAACATCCATCAGATTTGATTTGCCTCGTCCTTGTCTGATTCCGGGGGTCCAAATCAAGGAAGGTGGTGTCTGCCTCGAATCTTACATCAGATTTGATTTGCCGAGTTTTCGTCTGCTTCTGGAAGTCCAGATCCAAAAAGGTGGTGCCCGCCTGCACGTTGAGAGCCCCGTAGCGTTGATAGGCGTCCAGACTGGAGAGAGTGAAGGCTCGTGGGGGGATGCCCACCAGGTAGGAGATGAGGAAATGCCCTGCCTCGTGCTGTGGGGAGGGAGGCGGGGTGAGAGGTGGGACGGGCGGGACAGGCCAGCAAGAATGGTTTTGAGATGTCTCATCAAAACCAATCTTATTTCATGTGATGGGCGGGACAGGCCTAGGTACAAAGGCAAAAAATAAGAGGAAATGTCCTGCATCTTAGTGCCGGTTAGGATGGCGAGGAGAGGTGAGAGGGGAGTGGAGGGAGACGAGAGGAGAGAGGCAGAACAGACCGAAAGTAGTAGCATTTTCACAGGAAGCAGATGGAGCTGCTGTAGGAGTGGAATGTGGCACGGGGTTTGGGGTTCAATGATTAGGGGTTGGAGTGGTGCAATTACCACTAGGCCTAACAGGGCCTGCAACGCACAAAATCATGATGTCATTACACAGGTAAAACAGGCAGAAAATGTCGAGAGTGGGATTTGAACCCACGCCCTTTCGGACTGGAACCTTAATCCAGCGCCTTAGACCAACTCGGCCATCTCGACATGCTCTGGGTAAATGCTCCCCTTCTTAACGCCAAACCCTTAATTCTTATTCTTGACTGTGTGCTTTGATTTTGCTCTGTTAAGAACTGTCACTGTAACTGTTGCAGTATATTATCTGAAGAGTTGCCTGTCCCCCATGCAGTGCTTTTAGCTTCTCCACTCATCTCCCCTCCTCCCTCCCCTCTTCACTCCTCCCAAGTATGCTGGAGCCACTAAAAGTTTCCTCAACCCCTCTTACCATCATTCATCAATATTACACTCACCAAAGCAACTCGTCTGCGATAGGTGGGTTTCAGCAGGTTCCCCAACGTGTCCACCAATAGGGCCTCGCCACCTCCACCAGTTGACACCTGAATGGGCAGTTGCGTTCACAGTCAGGTGGGAATGGAGTTGAACGGGTAAAACAACCTGGAGAGAGTTAAGAAAGATTCCGAAAGACCTGCAGAGTAGCAGTGGAACTTGATGCATAGAATGCGAATCAAGGGATTAGCCCCTCTGAATTATTTCCCCAATGTGCCCATATCCTTGTTGCAAGAACCCACCCTGTCAGCCGCCCATCTCCCATCCCATCTACAGTGTCCTACCTGGTCGAAAGTGCCGATGAACAGTAACCCTATGACCAGCCCCAGCAGCTGCCATTGGTCCAGGTGTTCGCCCCACCACGTGGCAACCAGCCCTGCCAGCAGCGCCAGCTGTCCTCCCTGCCTCACGCCTGTTAGGGTGGTGTCTCTGGGCGCCAGCATGCGAGCAGGGTCTATGTAGTGCAGCTTCAGCTCCTCTATCGAGTACGAGCGGCGGGGAACCTGGTCAAGGGAGGGGGAAGCGGAATAAACGAGGGGGGTGGGGGGGGGGAGGGGAGGGGATGCAAAGGAAGCATGCGAGCAGGGTCTATGTAGTGCAGCTTCAGCTCCTCTATCGAGTATGACCGGCGGGGAACCTAGGAGGAGGAAGGGGTGAGGGAAGAAGGGGAGCAAGGGGTGAAGGGTGAGGGTGGTGGGAAGAGCGAATGGTGGTGGTTGTTTTGCGGCAACTTGCTCTCGCCCGCCAGCCGCCAGCATGCGAGCATACGAGCAGGGTATATGGAGTGGGGCTTCAGCTAAGATAATGAGGAACAGGAGAGCAGGAGGGATGCGACGTGATGGGGGGATGGTGATGGTGGATCTGGCGTTAGCATGCGGAAGGGTCTGTCCAGAGTAGAAAAAACTTTGGACGAGCAAGTACGATCTCTCAGCTAGAACCTCGGTACTAAGGTAACCACGAACCAACACTCACCTGTTGCGCTGCACCGAAGGCTCTTAAAACCTTCTCGCCAGCATATTGGGTTCCCGCACCGTCCACAGCCGCGTTCGTTTCCTCAGCTTCACCGGATTCACCGGATTCACCCGCTCGTCCAGCGAGCCGCTTCACTAGCGCAAGCGCCTGCTCCTCCTTGCCTTCCGCCAGCAGCGCGTCGAGCTCCGCCGTTCCGCGGCTCAACCGCGCCTCCCACGCGTCACTCGCGGAACTTCCGTCCCGCAAGCCAGGAACCGCCGGAGACCCTGTGCTTGCAGCTTGAGCAGAAACTGACAGTCGTCCGCGAGAATTAGGAATCGGAGAAAGCGACGAAATCGAGGGAGAAACATTTGTCCTAAACGAATGTCTGGTGCTACCAGAAGCGTTGCGTCTCGTCTGGAATGATACGACCGCGGTTCCAGTAGAAGGACGTTTGAGCGTCCAAGAATTACCACGGACAAAGGCCGGCCTGGTCAGGCTAACCCGCAAACCCAGCGACTCCATTATCCTAGGAGGTAAAGAACGTAGTATAATACTGGACGTAATAATATACTTATATAATACTTGCAAGGAAGATCTAATATCTAGGCTGGAGAGAATATTGGAATTCCGAGCTGCGAATTCGACTTGGCTAAGAGAAAGAAATGACCTTGCTTGCACATCAATGATATCCGCGTTTGGGGAACATGTGATAGTCGTTTAGGAAAGGCGAATAACTTTTGGATGCAATATAACAAGCGCACTTTTGCGTTGTCTGCACACAAATTCGTCCATGTGTGTTTCTGGAAGCTGTGCCGCGTGGCTGCTTATGGGAATGCCACACCATGGGCACCACGTCAGATCCAAGATTCATGAAGCGCCTCGTTAGTAGCTTTTTGTGTGTTTTCCAGAAGACGAGAACTCCATACACGAGGCTGTAACGTTCCATGTTACAAAACGGATAATGTTGACTGTGACTGCCCCGGCTTGTTGGGCCTTGTTCCATTTTCGAACCAGAAATTCTTTATCCGCGCGTCGATGCTGACATGTCACATCTCATCAGCACCACTTCGAATTTCAGGAGGCAGGTGCCTCAGGCCTTTCCCGTTTCCTCTGGCGTCTTACAATTGGGGAGCATTCTCCGTATACTAGCTGTCAACCATTCATTCGTGATTATGCTGACAAGGACATTGCGGGCCACTCCATGGACGGTGCTTCGGAGACATGTGTGTTCCTACCCCCAGTAATCGAAGTTCGAACTCTGTCATTGGCTGAAGAAAATGAACCACTCAGACTCACGTGGTGCCACGCATTGGCCAATCGAAGACATGTTGCATGCTACTTTGCCGCGTGTGGCTGTGAATGGAGGAGCTTTTTAGCGATTCCGCACCGCATGTTGGTGGCTCATCCGCACTGAAAAGCCGTTCCGCTTGATCGAGGAGTTTCCGTCCCAGGCGCAACGCGCTGCTGTTTGTGGCGAAGGGGCTCGCGCACAGTCAGTGGGGGGGGGGCAGGGCAGAGACAGGGAAGAGGGCCTGCGGACCTGGTCGCCACGCAATCGCTATCCAGTGCATCTGTGTGGTGGTACGGTGTTGTGGTGGATGGGAAGCAGGGAATGTGCACAACGCTTCGTGCCGTTGTCGGATGTTTTGCAATGCGACGCTAGTGAGCTACTGTCGGCGTTGAATGCAATATTTATCCGCTCGTTGCCACCATTCACTGCACACTCTTATTTACTGCTCACACTCCTAGTTGATCATATTTTCACAGGGCTCCTGCCTCGGTGACTGAGACGTTCTTTCCCAAATTGTCGTGTGTCACTCAACAGCTGATCAGAGAAACGCCGAGCTTTGAATTCACGGACATGGCTACCACGATAAACGACCTCCCGGAGAACTGCATCGCCACGATGCTTTCCTTCCTCACCCCAGCGACTGTTGGTCGCGTCGCGTCAGTCTCGAAGCTCTGGCTATCAGCTGCCAAGTCGAGCACGTGCTGGGACCAGCTCATCGCGAGCGGTCTTCCATCATGCTTTCGCGAAACTCCTGCGGCCCTCGCGAAAGACGAACGAGGCCTTCGTGAAGCTCTCGGTGAAGGCTTGATGGTCGACGACGGGCGTTACCACATCCAGGTAGACCCTGCGACGTCGCTCATCACCGTGAGCGTTAGCGTCGCACAAGTCTTCGAAATTCTGTGGGAGGATCGCGACCAGGATCGCATGCGACGACACGACATCACTGGTGCGATCTTCGACGACGCGTCGCAAGGAGTCGTCGTCCACTGGCTGAGCACCTGCGGGAAGATCGATCTCCCGTTTAAACTCCACAGCGGAAACTATCGCATGTCGTGGCGCGTCGCACAGGAAGACGGCGGGCCGCGAAGGTCCACAAGTCCGAAGCGCAGATTTTTGCGGTCCCAGGAAGAGCCGTTGATCAGTCAAGTACGCGACGCGACGACAGGACACGTGGAGCAGCACGATCTTGACGGCATCCGCGAATGGATTTCGACCACACCTACGTGGACTCGCATGCCCGCGGGGTTTCTGCGAGTTGGCGACGGAGGAGCTTCGGGCAGCGCGTCGTCGCAATTCGCGAGCGTTCGCTTAATTTCGACACTGACGGATATTTCACGACAACGGCGGAAGCGCGGGCTGTATCTGGACGCGTTCGTGCTGGAGCAGATTTCTATGTAACCCCAAATTCCGGAAACGCGACTCGGATTTGATTAACTTCCACCTTGCGATGTTCGACCCAACAACGCGCGGCGAAAAGTGCCGCGGTGGGTCCTACTTCGCACGGCATGGTTACCACTTTGTCGGTTCTGCGAGTCGACCACCCGAGTGAGTTCAGCAGTGCGGGTGTGCGCATGCCATAACTTTACAAATCGGAAAGGGTGAACAAACATTACTTAACGGCATCAGTAGGAAAGCACTAGAAGCATGAACGGGGAAAGATTTGGGGAGGAAGGAGCGGGGGTGGTAGGGGACAAGGGGTTGGGGGAGCCGGGCATCAGGAGGGGAAAGCCGTGAAAAGAAGGCAATTTCCGAAGACATTCCGTGTTTTGGGCGTTATCATGAGGTTTGGCCAGAGGCCAGGGATGTATTAGAGAGTCCCTTCGGCGTTGGCTTAGAGGATATGCGTGGCAGGCAGCGCGAAGCAGAGAGGGAAGCAGCGAGCGGGAAGCAGATAGAAAGTTCATGTTTCAGCGCTGGAGTACGGGGCTATCGCAATTGGAGAGTCTGGGGAGAAATAAGACAAAAAAAACCAATTGGCTTCCAAGGAAACGGTGGAGGTCGTGAGATACGGCTCCATGAGGTTGGCGCGGAAGAAATGGCTAGAAAGCCTTCGATGTGGGGGGGCTATGGATTCCTTGGAACTCGAAGCAGTAGGGAGGAGTTGACTTGTTAGAGCCAGCAGAAACAGACAGCGACAGTCATGCACTGCATGTGCTCCAACTTTCGCCAAGTTCCGCCTCGGTTTTAGTGCAGTGAGTGTTCTGTATAGTCTAACCCAGGTGGCGAAGTCACCTACCAAGTAGCTGATCTTTTTTAGTAGGGGCTTAGCAAGGGTTTTGTGGCTTCTCTGTATAATCTCTTTGAAATGCATTCATTATTTTGTGCGCTGGTTCTAGATTGAAGAACAAAATTATACATGGGTAGTTTCACAATGAATATTTGCAGATAGGAATGGAAGGGCAAGATTTCACCTTTACAAAATGTTTGGGAATCCAAAACAAAGATGCACTATGTGAAAAAAACTTATATTACATTCTCTCCTCTTGCAAGCATCAGAGCTTGCTTCATCCTCAAGTAACCGCTCCTCCACTGGTCCCTCTCCTTCTTAAGCCGCTGCAGCTGCTGCCTTTCCACAACCACGTGTGTGGCAGCTACATACAGGAGCAGAGCAGCAAGAGGCAAGCAGAGCACCCACACAGGCAGCACCACTCCCCTACACGAACAAGTGCTCCTGCCCCTGCTCCTGCTTTTCGCTGCGTTTGTTTCGTTGCACCTATGACAGGCATTGTCACCTTTAGCAGCAGCAACAGCGGTATATAAAAACGGGGGAGCAGCGGCAGCAGCGGCAGCAGCAGCAGGAAGAGGAGGAGGAGGAGCAGCAGCAGCAGGAACAGGAGCAACAGGAGCAGGAGGAAGGAGAGGAGGGGAAAAGGGAGTAGGAGGATAGGAATCAGTGACAGAGAGATGAACAGGAGGGTGCAGAAGGAGTTGGGCTGAAGGAGGGTCCAAGCTGTGCTGTAAACTCCGGTCAGTAAACGCCAGCCTGTGCTGGTCCGTGGCGTGTGGATAAACCCTGCCTTCCTCATAGTCCAGGCAGGTAGCACGACCCAAAGCTGCTGCTCTGAACCGTTCTGTACCGCTGGTTTCTACCGCTATCTGCATGGATTCCGCCACAACCCCCCTCCCAGCCTCTCCTCCATCCGCTTCTCTTACCACCACATGCCATTCGTTATCGTCACATCCCATTGGGTCACATTCTACTCGGTCCCTAGCGTCCTCCCCACCTTCCAGCGCCCACTCCTCCTGCTCTGCACCCCATCCGCCATGTAACTCCCACTCCGATCCGCCTCCTCCAACCCATTCGCCATATAACTTGCCGTCCGGTCTCGCTGTGACCCATGTACCAGCTAATTCCCACTCCGATCCGCCTCTGCCCCGAGGCGCAGCCGACCATCCGTTTGAAAGACCCCCTTCCCAAGGGTCACTCCCAAGGGGCATCCCCATCGAGGCATTGCCATCGGTCCAATCATTGGGAGTCTTGCTTTTGACACGTGTCCACTCCCCAACGGTAATTTCTGCTGCGTAAGTCAGTTCCTCACGAATTCTTTCCTTGGCCAGATTCCAGTCCTCCTCGCCCCTTGCCAAACCAGGACTGCTGCGTTTTTCAGCTGCCCCTTCCGCTGCCGGTCTGAGGTTGGTGGTAACCCATCCGCTTCCGGGACGAATGTCCGAATTTACCCAGGAGCTGTAATCCCGTGAGAGCTGACGGGAAACTGGAGCAGCAAGTCTAGAAGCAGTCGCAGAGGCAGTATGCTGATCATTAGTCCAAGGAACAGTCTCAGAAACAGTCATATGATAGTCAGTCGTAGGAGCAGTGCTGTGAGTGATGTCCGGTGCACTCCCAAGGACAAGCTCCCACTCTGCTGGCTCTAGAAGCGCGGGGGGAAACAGAGGCTCCGTTGGTGAAGGAAATTGTGACGGGAGTGCTATCGGTGACTGTTTTAGAGTAGCACCATTTGAAGAAACGGAGGCGGAGGTGGTTGGTCGAGACGGCGGACGGGGGAGGGCGCGCGGGGAGGGGGAGGCGGAGGCGGAAGTCTGGGTTGGCGGAACGGGAGCTGCTGCGAGCGGCCTTGCTGCCTGAGGAGCGCGTTCCGCGGAGGACTCAACCCGCTTCGCGGTTACAAAGTTCCCCCGATGCTCCGCCTGCGGAGTGGATTTCGCGGAGAACTCGCGCTTGAGCGGGCGCGTGCGCCAGGAGGAGGGCAACGGGCTGCTGAGCCACGCCCTGTAGAGATCCTCGAGATCTGTTTCCTCGTTAGAAGACCCTCCGATATCGTCATCGTCGTCTTCAGCCTCGCAGATGTCGTCGTAATCGTCCGAGATGCTGCTATCCTCGCTGTAGTTATCCGCGTCAAGCTCGGAAACACATGAGGTACGATCCGTGTATTCAAGTTGTCGCATGGTGGTTCTACGCAAAATGCGAGGACAAATCACCGTCTTCACAACTGCTTCTCGTTTAGACAGATTTCGTTTTCTCTCGGGACTGATACTTCGTTATCATAGAGCAGAAGCGATAGCGGATTAGACGGCGCGAGACTGAAGAGTTGTAGTGCTTCGAGCTTGCACCTTCCGAGAGTGAAATCGTACAGCACGTTCGTCAATACAGCATATCGTTTTGCAATTTTTAATTCAAACGAATAATATAGCCAACCAGAAGTAGAGTTTCATTACAATCCAACAATTATCATCCAATCAAAATCCACTATGCGAAATATATCACATTTACATCTCATCTTACATGTACCACAAACACAACATCTGTTGCTACTAACCTTTCCCCATCAGGTGCAGCAGTCATCCCCGTTACAGCATACTCTCCCCCACGTTGCAGAAAGTGGCTGGCAGATGCATCTGCATCCCTAGCAGTCATACTGACCACTAGCATGTACCAATAGGTACAGTTCCCGATAGGGGGGAACCACCCGCAGTGCAGGAGTGGTTAGACACATGTACCATCATCCATGTGTCCTAGCAGCGATAGCTGCTAGCTGTGCCTTGTAGGCACAGCAGGTCCAGCAAAGTTGCTACCTTACTGGAACCTCACCGACTATCGTGGGTGACGGCTGGGCAAATACCAGGTCTAGCAGTGTCGCTAGCACTATCTTGCCCAGCGGGAGTGTTTGAATCTGATTACAAAGAAAACAAGTACTAACAAAAATGATTTGCAATCTGACAAAAAATGTGACCCAGCATCATGTGCAGGAGCGCAAGCCCTACACAGTCTGCTGGGGTAAAACCAGAAGCCAGAAGACTCCCGGCCGCCAGACTGCCTGTAAAACGCTGCTATCCCACTTCAAAAAGAACCGTGAGCAGATAAAACTCCCAGATAGTCACCAATCATGTAGCCAACTCCCCTCATGTAGCCTCCCCTTCCCCGTCACATGCATGAGACAGCCTCACAGCCTTGAGAAATTCAGACTGCCTCATGCCCACCCGCCTCTCCCGCTCTACAGCCCCGTCTGGTGCTTGAGGTGCCGCGCCTCCTTCTCCCCCGCCGCGCCCATCTGCGCGCCCGCCACCTTCTGCTCCTTCCCCATCTCCGCGCTCGTCTTAGTCGCCGCCTCCTTCGCGTCCGCCGCCTCGTGCGCGCTGTGGCTGAACGGGTTCTTCGCCTTGTCCACGCTCTCCTGAGTTTCCGCCTTGCCCTTGCCCAGCATCTCGCCGCCCTTGGCCTTGGCCTCGGTCACCTTCTCCTTGGCGGTCGTGCCGAGATCGCCCAGCTTCTCCTTCATCGTCGACATGATGGTCGCGTGAGTCGCGGACGGAAGCAGTAGATCGGCGCTTGGGAACTGAATCGTCGAAACGATAGTTGGAAATCCAAGAGAGTTGAAAGAAAGTTTGAGATCAGAAAGCCTCACTGATACGAACGACGGGGAATGCGTGCAGTTATGTAGTGCGACTACAGGTAAGGTGAGAACGTCTTCGGAAGCAAGCCAATGTCGAGCTTCCACAACGATTGCTCTGATGTGCGTCGCGTGACGGACTCGAAGCCGCGATGCTTGAGGCAAGACGACACGGTGGGATCCCGCCGATTTCGATTTGATGCGCTGCGAGCCAGCACATCATGACTCGAAAGCGAGAGCCACCACGTCAGATAAACGCGGCGTTTGTCGATTCACATCGACAAAGCTCGTCATGCTGCCGACGTGAAGCTCCTGGCGAGGAATTTTACGCCAACACCTGGCATCTGATGTACATGTGTCGTTGCATGGATAGAAGCAATATCCCACTCTTTACCTTACCGTTTCCCTGCCTCCCCATTACTCTCTCTACTAGCCTCTGTGATCACAGCTGCTTTCACACCTTCCTCTATTTCACTAGCATCATCTCTACTGTTACCGCTAGACTTTTTGTTCTCATCATCATCACTGTCCTCACCATCGTCCTCGTGTGCGCCTAGTGTTCCGCCCATATCGAAATCAATGGTGTAGTCATACTCGATAGTAGGCACCAGCGACGAGATGAACTTGAGGAATATAAACAGGTACCTGCAAACAAGGGGTGCATAGAACAGGGAATAAATACGATGGAGGTGCGAAAACAAGGAAACAAGCGGATTAAAGAAGTGAGAAGCACGTACTGGTCGACACGTGGCTGCACGCCATTGGCTGCCATGATTCCAATGATCTTCTTCATCACCGCTGCATGCTTGCATGGGTGCACCGATGCGTACTTTCCTGGAAGGTGCGGATGGTCGTCAATCGTAACCTGCATGCAGCGAAACAGACATGCATCACATCACATCACAGCGAATACAAACACATCATCACATGCGCACGTAATGCGATATGAGGTATGGATAAGCTATGACTACGACTGCAATGTAGAGACTAAAATAAGAAGGAAAGGTGCACAGAAAAGGGCTGTCTGTATGGCCATGACTCAATCTCATCCAGCGTACTCACCATTGCCATCACCCCATAATAGTCACACTCACCGTTTTCTTCACATCGTATTGCTCACATCCTCAAACACTCGCCCTGCTGCCATGACACACACATAATCATACCTATACCGCCACTACGTTATAATCACACCGTTACCACCCCATTAAAGTCACATTCACTCACCGTCTTCTTCACATGGTCTTGGCTCACATCCTCAAACACTTTTTCTGCTGCCAGCGGCTGCCGTTCCTGCGGCGATGGGAACAATGGGAATGGCAGGGGAAGGAAGGGGGAGGGGGGCACGGGAGGAATGGAAAGGAAGGGGAAAAGTGAGAAGGGGCTTGGGTTCACATCTCCAAACACTCTCTCCTGCCAGAGGCTGCGTTGCTGCAGCTAAGGGGAACGGATGGGGATGAGAGACAGGGACAAGCGGGTGGGAGTCAACGAGCAAGGGTGGGGACTTGAACATAATCCGAAATTGTGAGATCATTCCAATATACAAAATAACACTGTGGATTTAGTGAGAATGATACAACAGATTGAGCAAAATGGACAACGAAATGGATAGTGAAGGGGACATTAAGGTTTATACGAGCTCAATGCACCTCACTGTAACCGCATGAATTTGAGAAATTATTTAGATGTCTCAGAGTATATTTACTCTTACCTGGCTTTCAGGGCTCAGCTTACCTCGTCATAACCAAAGAGCCATATTCTCGGAGTCTGGTAATATTTGTCGTATCTGGGTGGGGTTTCAAGCACACATGGAATGGTGAAAAATGAGGAGATGATGAAACTAAGTCCCTGTGAGGTGCTGGGTGCGGGAGTGAGCGAGGGAAAGTGAGTGAGAGAGGGTGAAAGAGGGTGAAAGAGAGCGAAAGAGAATGAAACAGGGCGAAAGAGAGTGAAAGAGGGTGAAAGAGTGAAAGCGAGTGAATGAACGCACGTGATGGTGAGGTCGTAGGTGCGAGTCTGCAGAATGTGGTCGTCCTCTGGCTCTGTGGCCACCAGGTACCCCCCTCCCCCCAGCTGTAGCGCCGCCTGGAGCAGAGAGAAGCGGGTTTGGCGGAGGGGTGGAAAGATGGTTAACATGAGATTGCAGAATGGGGTCGTCCTCTGGCTCTGCTGTCGACAGAACACCACATTCTGCCTAGTCCTCACGGGTGTGCTCTAGGCAGAACGAGGCAGACACCCCTCTCACCTGAGTTGCAGCGCTGCCTGTAGCGCACCAGTGGAAATGCCTATGATAGGTGGACGGGGATGGGGGGTTGGTTGGTGGAGGGAACATGGGTTGAACACAAGCCCACAGATCAGAATGGCGGCAGGCCCAGGTTGGCACACTAAGGACGGCACACACCGGCCGGCACACACCGGCCGGCACACACCGGCCGGCACACACCGGCCGGCACACACAGGGCGGCATGCACAGCCACCGGCACTCACAGGGTCTTCGTCGATGAAATTATCCACATTATTGAATTCCGCTATATCAGATACACACAGGGGGGTACAGGCAGGGCGGCACACACAGGGTGCCACAGACAAGGCGGAACACACAGACACACAGTCCCAGCCACAGGCACAGGCACAGGCACAGGCACAGGCACAGGCACAGGCACAGGCACAGGCACAGGCACAGGCACAGGCACAGGCACAGGCACAGGCACAGGCACAGGCACAGGCACAGGCACAAGCACAGGCACAGGCACAGGCACAGGCACAGGCACAGGCACAGGCACAGGCACAGGCACAGGCACAGGCACAGGCACAGGCACAGGCACAGGCACAGGCACAGGCACAGGCACAGGCACAAGCACAGGCACAGGCACAGGCACAGGCACAGGCACAGGCACAGGCACAGGCACAGGCACAGGCACAGGCACAGGCACAAGCACAGGCACAGCTCCAACCACACAGGCACTCACAGGGTCAGCATCGAGCACATTATCCACATCATCGAATTCCGCTATATCAGGTACATCGTCCTCCTCCTCTTCATCTCCCCCCGCTGCTCCTCCAGCAGTCCTCTCCCCTGCTCCCGCTCCCCCGCCCTCCCCTCCTCCTCCAGTTGCTGAGGTTGCCGGAGCGTCGATGGAGGGAAGGAATTCTTGCTGTGCCGACCCTGCACCTGCTGCTGCTGAGGCTGAATGGAGGAATGGGAGACACGAGGAGACGGTACCGTGAGGAGAGAGTCAGGCAGTCAAGCCGATCAAGGCAGCGAATGCACTCATCTCAGTCAGAACAGTCAGTCGAGTCAAGCCAGTCAAGGCAGTCAATGCAATCATACCAATCAAGGCAGTCAAGGCAGTCAATGCAACCATGCCAGGCAAACTTACAAGCACCGCCAAGCTTCGACGTGGCGACCCAGGGCTCGTTGCCATCCCCGTCCACGTCAGCATCGACCAATGTCTCGCTGCCACCTGTCGCCAGCAGCACCTCCTCCTCCATCGCCCCCACTCGCCTCAGACAGGGGACTGCACGGGGGAGTGGTGAGGGGGACGGGGGGAAGGGGACAAGGGGTTCAGAAACGGGGAGGCGAGTGCAGGGAGGAAGGGAGGAGCAGCAATGTGCGGAGGGCACCTGCGGCCAGCAGCACTTTCTCCTCCCATCGCCCCCACTCGCCTCAGACAGGGGACTGCACAGCGAGGGCGGAGGCGGGGGAAAATTAGAAAAGGGGTGGTGAGTGAGTGCAGGGAGGTGGGAAGGGCGGGAGGTGTGGAGAGCACAGTTGCTAGGACTGCTACCAACTGTTGTGTTGCTAACCTACCATTGTGATGTGACTGATAAGGTACTGCTTGTCAGGTGGCAAGAAGCTGCTGAGAAGCTACCATGACTGTGATACAGCCTACCGTTGCGAGTGATGAGGTACTGCTTGTCAGCAGGCAGGAAGCTTCGTCGGCGCGAGGGGTCAGCTCCTTCCCTGACAGACGAAAGATGAGAGCGGGGGAAGCACCAGAAGGATCATATAACAATCAATCAACGAGTTATCAAATCAGCGAATTAGCGAATTAGCGACCTCAAGCGCCACGTCAGACAAGCTCACAAGACCATTCTACACCAAATGTCGAGAACACCTGCAGTCTCACCAGGACCACGTGGGACATTTAGCCACCAGATTGTCGCCAGCCGCCACAAATTGTCGTCCAACTCCTGTCGTCTCTCTATGGCGACGAACTCGTCCGGCGTGAGGACGCCTTTCAGAGCGAAGGCTGTGGAACTCACCAGACACGAGCTAGACACGTGTGACGTCAGACAAACTCACCAGGACCACGTGGGACATTTGGCCACCAAGTTATCTCCAGCGGCGACGAATTCGTCCGGAGTGAGAACGCCTTTCTCCGCGAAGGCCGTGGCGCTGCGCGCCGATAGCAGCATCTCCGCCGTGCTCTTATACGCCTCGTGGATGCGGTGCCGGAGACCCGTGACGTCCATTGCAGCAGCCCGCTACGGTGCGAAGTTTGAGTTGCAAGCCGCAGAATATGGGGACGAGAAACGTTTCGCGTAGTTGCAGGTCAAGTAATAGCACTAAAAACGCCTCGTGGGTTCTATATTTAAGACGAGGGACTCTATAGCGAGGATAGCAGCAGATTCGCGGTGCTGTCGAACGCCTCGTGAATGCGGTACTCGAGACACGGAGCGCCGACCATGGCGATACTTTATCTGTACGATTATTGCGGTTAATATCCCATCAAGAACATCGTAACGCAAGCAGGCGACAAAGCGACGCTGCACTCTGGTGAGGAGGTGGGCTCTAAAGTTACTACACAAGCTGCGAGAAAAGAGCTTGATCAACCAACAAGACAAGGCTCCGGAAACTTGCACTGACGAACGCCTATAGAACGTCTCTAGAATTGGAACAGCGACACGAGGAATACTCGCTGTTGACAGGAGTAGCTATGGCTGGGAGGAAGCAACTAGATTCTAGAACCAGCTAATAATGGTCTTGAGGAAAGCAGGAAGCGTTGAGGCGAGGAGGTAATCCCAAGGTGCCTAGGAGATAAAGCTCGGGCTTCTCGGGTAACCCTAAAAGCTCTGTTCATTTCGAGTAACGGATCGGTCGCGGGGAAAGCGAAGCGAGCACGTTACACTCCCACGGCACTTCGCTCGCGCGGGTCTGTGTTTGCGAAACCTTCGCGACGACCCCGCCTTAGTTCAAGTTGCAGACCCAGGTTCGACACCCAGCTGGCCAAATTCTGACATTGCCAGATGGGACACAGATTGGCATTTCCCCATAAATTGACAAATTGTCAGCGCCGGAGACATTGGTAATTTCTAAGTAAATAAAATAATGCCTCTCGCAGACACGTCATCAACGCCTGGGGATTCGCTTGTCGTATACGCGCGCTCTTCGGTGCACTTTTGTACACCTGTTACACGCAATGGCTGCTCGCTATAAGCAGCGCGGTTTTTGTTCCCGTGAGGCGAAGAGCTATAGTTGCGCGTTATAACGAACGACTATGGCGGCGAAGGGGGAGGGTTTGAACGTTGCACGTGCGGTTACGGAGGGGGGAGCGGAAGGGGGGGCGGAAGGGGGGGCGGAAGGGGGGCCGGAAGGGGAGCGCGTTAATGAGGCGGGCGCCCAGCGGGAGGGGAATGGCGGAGGCGGAGCGCCGGGGGGAGGGGGGAGTAGTGGGGATGCGCGCAGCGGAGAAGGAGGAGAGGTAGTGGGGGAAATTGAGCGGCGGTGGGTTGAGGGTTTGGGGGGAGAGGGGAAGAAGGAAGAGGAGGTATTGGCGGAGGAGAGAAGGCGGATTCTGTTCCGCAAAGGGGGAAAGGCGGAAGCATTTGCGCGGACAGGGGGAGGATCTGGGGGGAATACGGGAAACGGAATAGGAGGGGATCAGGTGGGGGAGGGCGGATCAGGGGAAGCGGGAAGATTAAGCGGAGGTGGGGGTAATGCTGTGGGGGCAGCGCTACTGGGGGTATTGGAGGGGGGAAAAGGCAAGGGGAAGGGGGGAAATGGGAGAGAGGAGGGGGATGTGGAGGAGGAAGAAGAGGAGGAAGGGATGGGGAGGCAGCAGCTGGAGGAACTGTACCGGCACCTGAGACAGCCCAGGGTGGTTCTCAGGTGAAAACAATAGAGTCGGATGCAACTTCTGTGAATCCGTGTAGACGGGCATCACTCTTGAGTGGATGGGCGTTCATCTTCATCTTACCCCAACCGTTTTTGCTTCCATTGTTCTGTAAATATCCACGTGGCATGTGGCATGTGGCACATGGCATATGCATGTATGCGTGCAGAAAAGAAGCTTCCATCGCACAGGGGATAGCAAACGGGTGCTTTGAGGCAGGGCAGAGCAGGGAGCATCACCACCACCCCGCCACTCACAACCCCTCTCTCTGCGCGACAGCCACCCCCTCGGTGTGTGTGGCAGAGGTGCTGTTGCAGCGGGGCAAGTGGTGGGGCAGCACGGGGATTGTCCGGCACCGACAGCTCTTCTGCCACATTGAAGAGGCACTGTAAGGCGCTTTAACTAGGCACTTCCTTGTAAGGTGCTTTCTCGTTGAAAGGACTATCCTCCACCTCTCTCCCGCCTCTTGCCGCTTCCAATCCCATCTAGAGCCTGTATCACGCCCTGCGCCCGCCTATCCTCCGCTATATTGGTGTTACTTTTGAGAATTCTCAAAAGCAATCCCATCACGGGCCTGTATCACGCCCTGCATCCCCCTATCCTCGGCTGCTCACCTCTCTCTCTCCCTCCCTTCCCTCCCCACCCGTTCCCCCATTTCCTCCACCCCACCCCACCCCCATCCCCACTTCCCAAAAAACTCCCCTCCACCTCAGGTTTCTCATGGAAAAAGGCTCTCTGCTCCTCCTCTCTCCGTCCGGCTGCCCCGTCCCTATCCAAACCCTTCAGCTCCTCACTTCCTCCTCTCCTTGCCCCATCTCCCCTTCACCTCAGGTTTCTCATGGAGAAAGGCTCTCTGCTCCTCCTCTCCCCCTCCGGCTGCCCCGTCCCCATCCAAACCCTCTATCACGCGCTGCACTCCCCTCTCCTCGGTTGCTCCCTCAACGCCTACCTAGCCTATGCGCACCTGCGCAGGCTCGGGTTCATTCTGGCTCGGCACGGCGTCCCCTGGACCCGAACCGGGCCAGCAGGCTTGGCAGCCCGGGAAAAACCAACGAAGGGTTCAAATTTGTGTCGGAAAGGGGAAGAGAAGGAGGCAGAGGCCTGTCAAGGAGGGAAGCAGGAAATGGAAACAGAAAGAAGAGGTGGAGGAGGGAAGCAGGAGGAGGAGACAAGGTGTAGAGTTGCGGCTGATTTACCAGTTGAAGGAGAGGAGAATCCAGAGGAAGTATTAAAGCCCATGTTCGATGTCTACTACCCCAACGCACGGTTCAAAAAGTCCCTGCCTGGCCCTCCGGACTTCCTGCTCTCTGTTGTCGACTCGAGGTGAGCTCATTCCCTCAACCTCTATCCCTCAACCCACTCTCCACGTCTCCCCTCTCCCCTCTCTCTCTCCCCTCTCTCTCTCCCCTCTTCCTGTGCTACCCATACCATATCTCGAAGGGCTGTAGTCACCATCAGCAGCAGCATCTTTCCATGTCCAACTCCCTGCTCCATCTATCTCTGTCACCCACTTGCAGCTCACCCTTCCCATCCTTACTGGACTTGAAACGGCTTCTGGCACACTCTTGCGCTGGTTCACTGCAAGGGAGCAGCACAGCACACCTTACAGGCTTAGCGGAAGCAGGCAAGGATGAAGCAGCAGCATCGGGCGGCGGCTATGACCCAGCAGCAGCAGCACGCACAAGTGGGAGAAATGCAAATGTAGACGTGCCAGTTGCTGCAGTGCCAGTCAAAGTTGCTTGTGTTAGGGACGGTTGTGTTACCATCTTTGACATCACTGCTGTTACACTACCATTGCTGACTTGAATTATCTCCCCAGCACAATAATGACGCCCTTCATCTACTGGCGTTCATATTGCCTGCAAGTAACAGTACCATTGTTAGAAATGAATATTCACTAAATCTGCAGTTCCTAAATGAAAAAGGGAGTAAATCACTTGCAGTACAAACACAGAAGCCTATGAAAACCCAGCTCCAAAAATCAAAATATTAACCCATCTGCCACTGCTTTTGCTGTATTCAGGCTTGCATGATCTACACTAAGGATCGCCTTGAAGCGGTGACCCACACGAGCACTGAGGCATGCAAGGCCAAGAACATGGCGCATACACATACCATCCATGCTGCCAGCAGCAGCCGGAGTATATGCATACGTATGCTCATGCCCATGCTACTCAGTGACCCACATGGCTCTTAGTCGCACTTGATGTTGCGGTAGATACGCCGCACAAACATGGACGATCCCAGGTAGCCGATAGCACCTGCACAGGGAGGTTGGTGTAGGGGTGGGGAGGAGGGAGGGGAGGGAGGAAGTGTGGGATGGATGTAAAGGATGAGATAGGAGATATATCAGCAACCCCTGTCACTCGCATGGCTCTCAGTCACACTTGATGTTGCAGTAGATACGCCGCACAAACATGGACGATCCCAGGTAACCGATAGCACCTGTAGGCAGGAAAAGGAATTTGAGGGAGGGAATGTGGGACAGATGATGGGAAGGAGAATTTGCAGGAAATGGGTGCAAGTGCAACGGGGTTGCGAGTGAAGGGGTGGGGGTAAGGCAGTGCAAGAGGGGTACCATGCAGCAGAAAGTGCTTATTGATTAGAAGACTATGTAAGCAATGGAGATGATAGGGGTTGAAAGAGGTTCAACAGGGTTTGAAAGGGAAGGCGTGGAGAGGAGACAGTACAGGGGCGCAGAGAAACAATGGAAAACGTTTCGGTTAATGAAAAACAAAGACAAACAGGACAGGGGCAGGTAAAGGGGCAAGGGGAATAATGTAGGGGAGGAGGGGGGGGGGGGGGAGGAGGGAGGAGGGGGGGAATGAGAAATGAGAGAAGGGAAAAGTGTTGAAGGAGGGGAGAGGACGAGAGCGGGAAGAAGGGAGGGAGTGGGACGAAACATACGGGGATGGTATAGGTGTTGGGGGAAGGGAAGGATCTAGAGGTTTAAGAGAAGCCATACCACAGAGAATGCCGAGACCCAGGCAGAACATCAGCGTGTATCCGAAATAGGTGGTTTGAAAAAACCCGGTCATTTTGGTTTTGATGAAGTAGTACTAGATGGAGTAGAGGTAGACGTAGATGCAGGTGGGAGAAGGGCGGGGGGGGGATCTACAGGTGTAAGAGAGCACATACCACACAGAATGCCGAGCCCGAGGCAGAACATGAGTGTGTATCCGAAGTAAAACGTGGTTTGGAAGAAGCCCGTCATTTTGGTTTTGATGAAGTAGTAGTAGATGGAGTAGAGGTAGACGTAGATGCAGGTGGAGGCGGCTGAGAAGAAGGCGGTCCACTGCCAGTGGTAGTTCTCCGCGTTCAGCAGGAAGTAGGTGCCCACTATCGTCACACACACTGTGACTATAACGAGGATGAGGAACACCAGCAGCATGAACCCGTACACGTAGTACACCTGAGGGAAGGGGGAGAGGGAGGGGAGTGGAGGGGAGAAAGGAGGGGAGGAGGGGGGAAAGGAGGGGAGAGGAGGAGGGGTGTTGGCACTAGCGCAGAGGCAAGAAGACCACGGAGGTTCGTTGAGGATGGTGGGGGCGGGGTGTGAGGGAGGGGAGGGGGGAGAAGAGATAATGACCAGCAACGAGTGTTGGCTGAGGAGGGGTGGCGAGCTGAATATTTAATATCACCTTTTATTTGTGTTGGTGACCCCACACAAGGTGGTTTCATGTCATGTCTTCCACTACAGCTAACCTCGTTACTCTGTCTGATGTTCCTTGTCTGTGTAGCTCCGACACTCCCACCCATTTTTCACAGTCACATTCACTCGCTACAGTCACACCAACCAGCGGGCCTACCTTGTAGTTCCAGAAGGAGGTGAAGATGAAGTACATCTCGATGAAAATCGACCCAAACAGCAGCAGCCCGCCCATGAGCGACACCACCCACGGCGTCAGGTACCACTTCTTCACCGGGATGGGCCGCGGGATCGTCTTCACCCAGCAGCACGCCTTGCACCCATTCTGCTACTTAGCGCACTCACTCACACCCACTCCCACAGTCACGCCCCTTCCCTTCAGTCACACCCACCCCCTACAGTCACACCCACTCCCCACAGTCCCTACAGTCACACACACCCATGCGCCACAGTCACACCAACTGGAGGGGGAGAGGGGGGGGGGCGGGCCTACCTTGTAGTTCCAGAAGGAGGTGAAGATGAAGTACATCTCAATGAAGATGGATCCGAAGGGCAGCAGCCCGCCCATGAGCGACACCACCCACGGCGTCAGGTACCACTTCTTCACCGGGATGGGCCGCGGGATGGTCTTCACGCGGCAGGGGTTGTCGGGCGTGCCGCTCCAGTTGCGCCCCACGATGGTGCCGAGCGTGGCGAGGGGGAAGGAGATGAACGCCCAGATCACCAGCACCACCACCTGGAGTGCCACAATGTGGGGAGAGGGAAGGGGGACGGGGGCGGGTGGAGGGATGGAGGGTGGGACAGAGGGGAGAGGAAAACCGGGGAGGGAAGGGGCGAGAATGGAAGGGAGAAGGACAGTATGAGCCGGCAGGGGTTGTCGGGCGCGCCACTCCAGTTGCACCCCAGATCACCAGCACCACCACCTGCCGTGCGGGTTGGAGGGGGAAGGGGAGCGGTGGAGGGAGGGTTTGGGAGAAAAGGACAGTTAGAATGCTCCCAAGGGATCAGAAGGGGGATCAGGAAATGGCAAGAGCACCACCTGCCATGGTAGGGATTAAGGATGAAGAGGAGAGCTCGGAAGGTGATTGTAGAATTTCTGTGTAATACGCATAGAGATAGGACGGGGTGAACGGAACTGGACAGCAGGGGCATCAATGAAAGAGTTCACACGGACAGAAAAGAAGCGGACGAAGTGGGAGAGGAGTGGGTGGGGATTGGGGAAGAAGGGGGTGGTGGGGGAGGGGAGGGAGTGGGGAAAAGGGGGGGAAGGGATGGGGGGATGGGAATGATAGCAAGACCACAAATTACACATGGCAGGAGCAGTATTGCTCAGAATGGCAGCATGGAAATGATAGAACATGGAATGGGAATGGAATGGAATGGGAATTGGAATTGGAATTGGATGTAGTGACTGTTGCCTCAAAGCACACGAGGGGAGAAGGGGAATGGGAATGGGAATGGAATGGGAATGGGAATGGAATGGGAATGGGAATGGAATGGGAATTGGAATTGGAATGGGAACAGGAACGGGAACGGGAGCGGGAGCGGGAACGGGAACGGGAATGGGAATGACAGCAAGAGCACTGACCATGGTGCCGAAGGGGATGGCAGCCAGCGAGTGGTAGACAATGGCAACGGTGTTAAGAATGAAGCCAATCCCGAAGCACGTGAAGGGGAAGAGCGACGCTGTCAACAGCATGGCCTTGATCCAGTGCTTCCCTGCGGGGGGGTTGAACGAAGGGG